TCATCGGCGTTACATTGGCTCGACACTGATTATATTGACAAACATTTGGCCAATATAGCCCAATATGTAGCCATTATTGGTTGTTAACAAAATGTGAATGAATTGTCAATATTGCACAGCATAATTGTACCAATATTGAGCAAAAACTGAAATTCTAATTTTTATCAATGTTACAGATTATGATGCTAATATTTCGACGAGATTTTATTTTTTATTGGTATCTATGACACATAGTAAAAATTGTCTTAAAATTGGTCCTTGTTAAAATTTTCATGTTTGATTTTTAACGTATTCGTATGTTAATTTAACATATTATGTTTATGTCATTTAAATATTCTATATTCAATATGCAATATTCTATACTGGGTGAATATTCAACATGTATATTTTAATATTAAAATAACACATTTTATACTTCAGTGTCGATGACATATTATGGATATTTAATTGTGTGGTAATTTTTGACATAATATTTTGTATTACGTTTCCACAGATTCACCTTGCGTTAAATTAACACAAAATTTTTTGCAAATTGTTTGCAACATATAAAATGTGTTAAATTTAACACAACATTTTTTACTGTATATTTTTCATACATATAGCATTTTACATGACGTCTTTTTGACGTCCTAAAACGTCTAAAATGAGATAGTGAAACGTTTTAAAAATATCTCTTTGATAAATTAATGAGATGTCCTAGGAATTTCACGCTTCGATAATGTCTTAGACATCTTTCAGGCCTCATAATGTTTTCTGAAGCTGTTCATTTATCCTTTTCACTAATAATCTACTATATTAATTGAAAATGAAACATCTGTATATTAGGCCAATATTCGAAATTCAATATTGGCTATAAAATGCAAGGCGTCTACTTTACTTTACAAGCACGAGCCAATATTGGATCCCAATTTGCGGCTAACATTGCTCCAATAAACTGTGCTACCACACTGGAAAAAAAAATTGCTACCTTCAAGTAAATATTTACCAAGGAGTACTGGAATAGTTGATTTTATTTCGGTTAAGTAAATATTACTTGAATGTGGCACTTTTTCCTCCAGTATGCCGCATTCAAGTAATATTTATTTAATCCCAACAAGGTGAACTACTACAATACTCTTTAGTAAATTTATTTGGACGCAGCAATTTTTTTCTTTTCAGTGTAGGGTTCATGAGCTGATGCAAACGTAAAGCGGGAATTCGGGCATTCGAGCGCGACCGAATTTCTTTTCAATTCGGCTACTGTATCGCGCGAACAATAGGCTTTGTAAAAAGAGAAAAAAGCTTTATGAATATCGCCTTGTCGCGCCTACGCCGCTTGAGTTCGGGCCTGAGCAAATATAGACACTCCCGGCTCCTTTCTTCTCGAGGAATTAGCGGCTGTTTCGACCGGGCGAAAACCAGAGGCGCGGAACACGAGGCTTTACAATGCGGCGATCGCGCGGTTTTATTATGTGTAAATTATCGGACAATTCAGTCGGCCTGTTTCAATGCGCTCTGCCCGAGTCTCCGTTCCAAGCGTTTTTCTCTTACGGTAAGACCGTCGCAACACTTCAAATCGGGCTCGGCGCGTGGAAAATATACATAATTTGATAATTCCGCTCTTGCAGCTTTGCAGATGATCCCCGCCGATGTCATCCTCGGTCGGTATTGCCTTCTTCTTCTTCCTCGGGTGTGGTGTAACTTTCCTCACACAAATGTCAGAGGATCAGCTCCGCTTTTTTCCTCCCGCTCTCTCTTTTTCTCTTTCTCTCTCTCTCTCTCTCTATCTCTGTCTCTTCTGTTTACACACGCGAGAGCGATCAACGCGCGCCTGCGAGAGGAATCCGCTTCTTTTCACCCGCGGCCCACGTGGGTTGTCGAGTTTTACGGTTGACAGTAACCGTCGGCGAGCTCTCCTACAGCGCGCTTTACGACGCAGCGAAAATGGATTTTCTCCGTAGCGAAAACGCGCGTGCGAGAAACGCGAGTAGCCGATAGCTTCTCGATATACCGGGGGTGAAAGTTCAATTTCAAGTCTCTCGCGATCGCTGGGTAGCTCGTGACCTTTATCGGGGCGTAGCTGGTTCTCGTTCCCGGCATTCCATCCCGGATTAGATTACGATTGCTCCGTTACCGATTTCCGTATGAAGAAATCGGCGGGTCGTGCCGGCGGTCCGGCCGCTCGCGAGATGACCGCTTCGCCGCTTCGATAATGAACGAGCCGGGGCGGACGAGTTTCGATGCCTGATACGCCTTTCACGTTACTCACCCGTCGTCGCATATCATTATGAAAATGAGGGGAAATGCATGGGCCGTCCGTGGAAGCGTAATGACCGGGGGGACCGGCCGCGAATCGATCGTCGTCATCGCGTCGCGTAATCGCCGGAGACGTCGTGGGCGGCTTGTAATTGCCAGGCGTGGCGGGCCCGATGACGACGACGTGATTATTATTAATGGATCGAGCGTGCAACAAGTCAGCCGGCTGCTGACATGCGCGAAATAACGTCGCGGGCACATCGATTACTCGCTCCAAGTCGCAATTCCCGTCTTGGAAGCCGCGTTAACAGATACTACGATTTACACGGAAACGAGGAACCTCGTAACGAGATTCGCGCGTGCTCGCCGGCGCGGTGTTTGCGCTTCTTTTCGATTTCGTAATTGAACGCGCGTAACGCGTGTCTCAAAGCGTTTCTGTAAGCCGCTGCGAGAATGCCGACGCTGGAATGCTGTGAAACTGATGGTAGTTTGAGAGAGAATGAGAGAGAGAGAGAGAGAGAGAGAGAAAATCGATGAGAGTCCCAGTCAAACGTATGAACGGGAGATCTCGAAGGGGTTAAGCAGCCACGAGAGCACTCGTCGCGCGTTCCCAGTTTCCGATCAACCCGCTGCAGGACGTAACAAAGCTCCGAGCGAGCCATCCACCGAGTTTCTCTCCACTTAAATACCAAAGTTTATTCCCAAGAGCTCCGTGCGTACGCGGCCTGTTCGCGTGCGTAATTAAAGATACGCGCTTCTAATTGCATTCGGGTTCAAGAGGAACATAATGGAGTCCCCGCCGAGTTCTCGCACTTATCTTTCCCTTCCTTGATCGGTAACTCGCCTTCCCCCTCGCCACGACGATTTATCATCCCGCTGTGATTTACGCGTGATTCCCCGCGAAACGCATCTTCAATAAAGATAAGGGAGAAGCATCGAGGCTGTGGGAAATAGACATATCCATGTTTCTCGATTATGAAATAGCGAATTCTGTTAAACGGTACATGAACTTTGTCTACTGCGTGCAGTAGGTGAAGCTGAAGCAGCAGTTTCTGTTCGCAAGCGCGTTTGGTTATTAGTTGTTAATAGCGTTAACTGATTCTTCGACGTTCCCTCGAGGTATTTTTCTTGTAAATTTTTAAATGGCATATCAGGAATATATAATTTATTGGACAATATTATTTTATAGTGTAAGTCTTGAAGTTTTTATAAATCATTGTGAATCTTTTATCCTCTGAATTATGCGGGAAAGATTAGGGTTAAGTTGTTCCATGAACCGACATACCTGAATTTATTGATTTTTCAATCGACATACCTGAATGGATAATATTTTGGGGTCTACTTTCTTGAAGCGTCATTTCTCCAATTTCTTAAAAATATTTATTTGACAAATATGCAATAATTTTCGAAAAATTACAATGTATTTTATGTATTTTGGTGGAGAAATGTTGCCGCTTTGCATTTATGCGCAAGAAAAAAGATTTCTATGGATTTGATAAAATTTCTTTAATTGAAGTAAGTTTGTCTGTTGAAATACAACAAACAAACGAATGTTTGATTCAACAAACAGGATTGTTTAGTTCTTCAAATGATAAATATCTCTACACCAAACAGCATATTTCTTCTCTATTTTCATTTAAACATTACAATCTATAAATTAGCATAACAAGCTATAAATTATTTGAAAGAAATTTCATTATGTTAGAAAAATATTAAAGAGCTTCTTTATTTCAGTGAAACAATATTTAATATATAACGAAATAATTTTTCTTATAGAAAACGAAATACTGTATTTATTCGAAATAATACTGTCTTTTCTATCAAACAATATGGTTTATTTTTATAAGATAACATTTTCACTCAAACAAAATGATATTTGACATTAAATTCTATTGTTAAACAAACCCAAGTCAAAGAAAGCACGTACATTAAATCCAAAGTAAGCTTTTTCTCTGTGTGTACATAAATTTAACTATAAATTAAATAAATAAATTATAAATAAACCTAATAATTCTACTCTTTCAATCGGGTTTTAGATCCCGAAAAATTAAATGGTCCTGATATTTCTTCTCTGATAATATAACCGGCGGTTCATAACGAGATCAGCAAGTCAAGATATATGCGAGATTCGGCGCGCGGATTTGTCAAAAATATTGTAGAGGAAAGTAAGAGGGAGGGAAGGATTTTTCTTCCTTATTCACGTCTCCGTGGTTCGATTCATGAATACCCTCTCGCGTTCAGCCCGAAGCGTTTCCGTGAAATTCTCGTGTCGAGAAGCGCCGTGCTAAACGATTTAAGCGTTGTATTATTATTCCTCTCGGCGGACTCTCGGAACACTTGGCAGAGAAATCGGCTAATAAGGAACAGTTTAAGGTCCGTCGAGAGCTCATTACACTCGTCGCGTACTGTTCCCGACTTTCCGAGGATGCGCTCTCGCGAGAAACGCGGCTTTTAATTATGCAGGCGCGTGTCACCCCGGCGCGTCGCCAGGCGTGTACACGTAATTACGTAAAAACATGTGAGCCATTGCGGTCCATCGTGCGGCTCGGTCGGCTCGAAAGCCGACGTGGATACGTGTTTACTGTGTTTTTAGGAGGAGAAAATCGCCTACGGCCCCTTGAATCTTCCATACGTAACGGTAAACTCTCATCGGGGAATAGACGACCGAGGACGGATGAGCGGCTTTCAGTCTCTCTCTCTCTTTCTCTCTCTCTCTCTCTCTCTTTCTGTATCTGTCTCGTCTTTTCAGTCTCGCTCGAATCAATATGGTAAAACCAATCGTAAATGTCTCATTCAAAATACTCCGTGTCGTCGATCCCCGTCGCGTTTATAGATCGGCCCGGTGCTTCACCCATTTGCGATCAGCCGCATATATAACTAAAAGATTCACTGCAACGGCGGTCCGGCTCGCTTCCTTAACGACCTCCCGAGAAAACGAGATTTTATAATCCGAATTTAACTTTCTCCCAGTTTCGAGGTTAATTCCGTCGGAGAATTACTTCCCCCTACTTTATCAATAATTTATTCATTAGATTAGAACAAACGCCGAGATCAGAAAACGTGTCGAGTTTCCTTTCTCTCTTCTTTTCTTTTTTTTTCTTTCATTCACGGTCGTAAACTTAACTATGTCCGGGATAATCGGGTGTGTAGAACTTCGGCCGAGGTAGGGAGACTCGCCTGAGCAAACCGATTAAAAAAAAAAGGATTTGTCTCGCGCGATTTCCAATTTCGCCAGCCCAAACAAGATTCATTGATGTTCTTCAAACAACGCGACTGTTTGAGAAAGATGTCTTCGTTCTTTCGACATCTCTTCGACGTTTCACCGGTCTTCTTCGGTATTTCAAACGTATCTCATACTGTTCCTTAATTACACGCTCGTCGCAACGCGAAGGATACCGAAACGCGCAATGATAGAGGATAAGGAGGATGGTGTTATGCTCCTTCCCTCTCCATTTACATTTAGTATAATAACTTTGTTAATAATCAATATTTTTAATTGAAAACTTAATTAATTAATTAATTGGTTTTAATTAATTAATCAAAGCCAAAGTGTTGTTCTATCGATTTTAGGCTCAGAGTTATGTAATATTTTTTATTTAGGGTGTTATTTATAAAAATGGCCTCCACTAAAATAGATTAACCTTGAAAATGTTTCGAAATGTTCGAAAGTAAAAATGCGTTATAACAAATATCAGCCATTGTGTATTGGCATATTAGCGCTATTGCGCAACGGTGGGCTACTAAACAAATAATTCTATAAATAATCATTAGAATTCGTCACTTAATGGAAATATTAAAAGGGGAAAGTATAATACTTACTATAAGTGCCATAATAACACCTACTCCTCTAAAATTACGATTTGGTTTGCGCAGTAAAATAACAATACGTCTGAAAACGCATCGCATCTTCGCAGGTATATATAACGATTTTACTCGCGGGGGCGTGCTGCAGCCCGGCGAGGTCTCAGCAGACCGAGACCTCAGCCAAAGCCCTCGAGGTCTCGCCCGCGCCGGTGAAGCTCGACAAGAACCTGCGGCAAGCGCTGCTGAAGGCGCTGACGGATCTGGAGACCGAGTCCGTGGAGCAGCGTAAGGACGAGGAGGGGAAGTCGCTCGTGGAGATGTCCTTCAGCGACATGGTGAAGAAGAACATCGACGCGATACAAAAGACCACCTTCTCGTTCGACGATTTCCCGGGTGACGATGAGACGCCCAGCGAGGAGAAGCTGCAGAACTCGAGTTTCGTCGGCCTGAAGAAGTACGCCTCTCCCTCGGGCTCGTCGGCGATGACGATCGAGAAGGCGAGCCTCGACGACGCCAGGAGCTTCCACGTGCACAACGTGGTGGTACCGGATAAGAAGCCGGCCACGTATGCGCCGCGAGCCGAGTCCAAGATGGATCCGGCGGAGCCGAGAAGCATGAAGACCTCCTTTGCGAGCTCGCTCTCGGCGAACAAGGTCATCGAGAGCATCACGCTGAAGCCGATCATTCAGGTGTCGGAGAGCCTGGTGCAGAGCGCCAGCGGCGGCATCACGAACGCCAACTCGTTGATCGTGCCGAAACCGACCGCGTCTAGTCCGACGGTTCCACCTACGAACATCACCTCTTCATCGTTCGAGTCGAAGAGGGAGAAACCTCTAACGGAGGAAGTGAAGATATTCCAGGCGCCCTTGGTGGCGGCTTTCACCGTGCAACAAGACGAGCAGGGTGTGCCGAAGAGCGTCGTGCCGATCTACCGGCATACAGGCGATGGCCAGGCTCTGACTCTGCAGGAGCAGCTGGATTTCAAGCAGAAGCTGCTGGAGCAACAGTTGGCGGAGCTGCAGCAACAGCAGATCCAACAGACGCAGTTCTTGGTGCGGCAGCGTCAGCTGTACGAGCAGCAGCTCATTCAAAAACAGCAGCAACAGCAGCAGCAGCAACAACAGCTGTACTTCCAAGAACAGGCGAGGATCAAGCAGCTGGAGGAGCAGGCGAAGATCAAGCAGCTGGAGGAGCAGAGGCTCTATCGTCTGCACCAGCAGCAACATCTGTTCCCGGTGCAGAAGCCGCACATCTTCGAGCAGACGAACGCGCTCGCTCTTCATCAACACGTGGCGGAGCCCACCGTTCACCTTCAGCCGAGCGTGGCTCTGGAAGTTCCCAATGCCGTGGCGCCGCCATTGTTCCGCACGACGAGCTATCAGGAACAGCTACACTACCAACAGCTCCGTCAGCCTCCGTTGCCTCAGCAGCAGCTGCAGCGGCTGCAGCAGAGCTTCGGCTCCTTCTCGAACGATTTCCAGCCACCCGTAGCTCCGGCCTCTCGATTCAACCGGCAGGAGGCCTTCAACGCGGTCGGCAACTTCGGCTTCAATCCGGAGAAGCAGCCACCGCCGTCCAGGAACACGTTCACCTTCAACGCGCCGCAGAGGTATCCCAGCACGTTCGTTTACAATCCCTACGTGCAGTTCCGGCAAGTCACTCCGGCGAGACCGCAGACGCCCGCCAAGCAGATTCAGCGTCTGCTCTATCAGTCGGGAGTGGCCGGCGAGTTGGGCAACGTTCAGGGCACGGGCGGTCACGAGGACCTCAACATCGTGTCGAAGGTACTGGCGCTGAACGTGGGCGCGTTACCCAACAAGAACTATCAGCAGTTCAGCACGAGTAACCGCGGCAAGCTGGCGTGAACGTTGGACGGACCGGCGTACCGATGTAAGACTTGGACGAGTCGTGTAAATCGCTACAGGACGATATTAGCAAGGTGAAATCGAGCTCTCTCTCTCTCTCTCTCTCTCTCTCTCTCTCTCTCTCTCTCTCCCTCTATATATATATATGGTGTGTGTGTGTGTGTGTGCGTACGTACCTCTTTCTATTTCTCTATTCTTCCGATTCTCCCGTCCCTCTCTCTCTCTCTCTCTCTCTCTGCTCTTGCTTCATTCGTCTCTCTCATCCTTCCTGTCTCGACGTACTCCTCACGCGGGTATAATATCTCGCGGCCTCAGCACCTACAAAAACAGCAAAGTTCACATTGATATATATCACTGCCTTAATGAAATACTGAAAGATCCTCCAGCGCGCATGTTTCCAGATTTCTTGATAATTTATACAAAATAGATTTCACCAGGTGATACAATTCTGAGACAACGATGAAATTGGCACACCGTAACATCTCAGTAAGCAATACGTTAGCAGTCTGACGACAGATCGAGCATGACCTGTCGACAGATCCATAGTCGTCATGTGTCTGCAACCTGCTGTTGTTCTATCAACAGAGCGTGCGGGAAAAATCTGACAGTAGATTGACAGCAAAAAGCGAGCAGGATCTGCAGTATGTTTTATTTAAATACATTGGAAACGACAGACGCCGAGGCGAAATTTTAGTCCTACATTAAGTTTATTTAATTTTACATTAAATCTTCAAATGAAAAAAAAAAATTGAAATAACTTCCCATTTTTAGCATCAAAGGAGCACTAATAATGCTCCTTTGATGCCACAGAGAGAATTTAAACCTTCCGAAGGAAAATGTTTAATTCTACCTTAAGTCTTCAAGTGAAAAAAATGTGAATAATTTTCTGTTTGTAGCATCAAAGAAAGCACGATGGAAGATGGTTGAAGATTTAATATAGAACTAAATGGACTTAACGTAGAACTGAAATTTCGACTCGGGATCCTGCCCAATTTCTGCTGTTAGTTAGGCATCATATCTACCATCAGATCCTATTGTGTTTCCGCCAACAAACTGCTTACAGAATTTGCAGCAGACACTGCGAAAAATCTGCTTTTGCAATTTTGGTTATCTGATATTTCAGCGTTAAATAAAATGAAGACAGCTCGAATGTTTTTTAGACCGCACGTTCTCATTGGAGAAACGAGAAAGCTGGACATTGAAAATATTCATTCCCGAGTCTGGCTTCTCGCTTCGAGATGTTTCGATATTAAATTGAAGCAGAACGCATGTGTTAAGCATATGTAACGGAGTCGTGTTATTCAACAGCCGCTGGGTGGGCGCTTTTCGAAACGACGCGTCGTGTCCAAGCAGAACAAAAAGTCATATAAAAATTAAAATGATATCAAGATGATGTCAAAAAGTAATCATTTAAAGAAAATCAAAGTGATGTTATTTAATACCTTAAACAGAATGTTGATAATTTGACTTTTTCGTAACTGCGTTATGATTTCTCAATGACTTCCTTATCTATGGAACATTGTAGAACGCCCTTAAGTCCTCCACTCGCAATTTATTTTTTCTAAAGCTGCGCTCCGATATTCAATACCAGTATTGAAAATTTATAGTTCACGTTAAATGTACTATAGATTTTTAATATTGGCAGTGAATATCGGAAAGACTAAAAATATGCAACTATTCCTTACAAATAAATTCCTATTACAAGAAGGTTCTAATTGTTGTATTTAGAATTGCAGTATTTTAATTTCAATTTGTAATTTTAATTAGCTATATATAAACAAAATCGTTTATAATTACAATAAATAGAAGATCGTTTGCGCGAACAATTTTACATACAGCTACCAACATGCGCAACTTATGTGTATTGAAGAAACAGTTTACCCGGAGAGAATTAAATCTGTAAATTCTGAAGTGTCGTGATTTCATTAATTTCATGACAAAAAATGACCTTTGTCGTCATTTTGGTGTTATTATGACTTTTTGCTCCTGCTTGAAACGATCAGATAAATATCGCGAATACCTAACGACGATCAATAACAGACGGCTAAGATCCCACGGATGTTACGTCTCGCGGAGGTGAGTGAGAGTTCTTTCACAAGCGTGATGCGTGTCAATCGCTGACTGCACGGCTAAGTAGGATTTATTCGAGACGCGACGCGCGCACAAACTCCAGCTGTAGCCGTGTGCCTGTCGCCGTCGTCTGTCTCTTCGCCGGCGAGAATACACTCGCTCGCCTCGAAAAGATAAACAAAAGCTGCACCCAGCGAACTAGTTGAACGACTTACGACATCGATCGTGCGTACCAACGTGCCGACCAGCGACCAACTTCCGCGGCTTCTCGCGCGCCTCCGAGAGGTAGCACGCGCGAGATAGCACGATGACTCGGTAAGTTCAGCGATGCCGTGACGGGCAGAGTAACCTTGAATACCAGCGGCAAGAGTGAAATCGAAGATCGCGTGGACGATCGCCCTCGGCGAGTTACATCGCCGGACGAAGCTTCGCGTCCTGCGCGCCGGTCTCTTCCGTATCGGCGTGAGACCGAAATCGCGGTGGCGATTCCGCTCGCGAACGGGAGAGCGGTCGCTCCTTAACGAGGCACTTAATGACATTAATTACGATTGTGCGTTGCCTTAAACAAGAAATCGTCGGTGGTAGACGACGGCCCGCCCCACCCGTCTACCTTGCCTTACCTACCTACCTGCCCGAGCTCGGGATTACGCAAGCTTGACTCGCTTGCGACACAGGCGAGCACTGTACATAACTGTGTTACGACCACAGCACCGCTTCCTCTTTATCCCTTTTCGATCCCTCCCCCGCACTACGTTCTCACCCACTAACTCACACATTACTCTCGGTACAGCGTTCGCGATGGGCGCCGTCGCCCCGGCTTCGTCGGTCGATAAATCGTAGGAACATGCTCGACCATGCAAGGGAAAGCACGTTTGATCGTTACCCGGGGAATAAAGGATCATATATGAAATTTGCCCATATGTGACTATGTACAATCATATATGTTAACTAGGAGAAAATACTGTTGTTTACAAATTACATGCGGATACGATCGAAGTAAATGCTTCTGGCAGCACATTATATCGACATTTAATTAAATGATATCGTTTTTTATAGACATTTACGATCGTATATGTAACCATGTATATGGGCAAAATTCGTATATGATTTTACACAATTATATATAATCCTGTACGATCATTTTTTCCCGGGTAACGAAAGGAAGAAGAAAATGGAGGAAAAAGATGAAGAAGAAGGAGAAAGGAAAATCGTAATCTTTGAATAACCGTAGCGATAAGTTTATGTTTAACAGGGAGAATTGGTACGGTGACATTCGCGCGATGAGGAAGAGAAGGCGTAACACGAGGATTCGAGCCGATCGAAAGTCTCGCCGGAGTCTCTCACGTTAGTTGTACACACACGCGTTCTACTTGGGTTTCGCTGTCGCGTCGCGACGGAAAATATTCCGAAGGAAAACCCCCCGTCGGGGGAAAACACGCTTCAGCTATGACAGCGAGTATTAACTATTTATCTAAGTCCGCACGAGCGCTGCTGTTACCGGTAGGAGAGTCGAGCGCGTCTCTTTGACGAGCTCGGAAATCGTCTCTCCGGATGGACGAGGACTCGACCGAGCGGAATTGCGACTTTCGGAACATCCTGAATATTAATTCGAATTAATATTAAGTTTGCAGATATATTAGCGAAATTCTTAATATTAATTCAAGCCCCGATAAATATATATATATATATATATATATATATTTCCCTGGCAAAATTTCGAAAGTGAAACCCGGTGGCATCACACGTAGAAAGGAAAACAATGGTGGACGTAACATCTGTAAATTTGCCAAACAGCCTCTTGAGTTTCGTCATTATACGACTCTGCTTGATTTTGTCCGTCCATCTGTAATCTAATCGTTTCTATTTTGCGTAAGGTATTGCGTAAGTGCCGAGTTCCAAGTTCGTCAAAGCCCGCCGACGACTGGCTACCGCTGATTAGCACGCTTTACGACATAGCCTGTTGTACTGTGTACTCGAGTTAGCCTTAACACACGGAGAGCTCGGCGGGGTCAGAGGTCTCGCAGAAGTCGTGCATCGTGCCGCACACCGGGGGATTGAAAACACTTCTTCGACTGTAAATAAACTTTCCCCGGCCGGGTACCGACATACAATGTACCACGCGGCGAGGCGAGGAGAAGCGCGCGCACGCGAGAGGAGAGGAGGGAAAATACGCGGACGCGCGGGAGACATATCTCGCGTGTATATGCACGGTGTGTACCTCCTGTGTGTCCTCAATTTCACAAACGTTTGGCACAGATCCGTGATTTCTCCCGGCGGACGAATCGACGAATCTCGCGGACGGCAGGAACGTCGGTATCTCGCTTCCTTCGTTTCGCGAGTTTCGGCAAACTCGTCGATGTTAATCGCGATTATCGGGGACGTTGATTAGACCGTCGAGCCGATGAACGAGTTGTCAGGTCCGCGGAAACAATCGATGATTGATACACCGATTAAGAACGTTTCACTTTCGGGAAGGAAGATTTTCTAAACTCGCGTTAGTAGACGGAAAAAAAATTAGTCTTAAATCAAGAATAGATGTTCTCATATGCAAGCAGAAATATCATAATCTTCTTAGGATACTTTTAGTCTTGATTCGATTGAATTTATATTGATGCAAGTATTACTTATACTCAACTCTAGGTTAAGAATCTTCTAAGTATATTATAATATTGCTTATTTATGAGAATATCTATTCTTGATTTAGGATTAATTTTTTTCCGTGCAGTGATATTGTCATTAATTCTCAAATAACAAGGTTTATACGGGTCGAGTCCGACCCGTAGATGCATTTCGTGGATTTCCAATTAATTTTTTCGACTGGGCACTTTTTATTCTGACAATTAGTTAGAAAAGATTGAAAAGTAAATGAAATATACCGCAATATATATGAAATACTTGAAATACGACGCTTTACGAGTGTGTTCGCGGAAGCGTTAGAATATGTATCCGGTCGATCTTGTTATCTGAGAATCAATGAGCAATGATAATTACGAATACGATGATTTGAGTAATTAATATTCCTCCTTGGAGCTCTTCAAATTTCCGAACGTGCTGAAGTCACCATGGAGAAAAAATCGCGTGTATTGTTCGCGTATTTTTTACATTGTTTAGACGTTCCACGCTTCGACGACGTGTTATTGTAATTAATTACTTCTCAGTATCCCACGCGCGTTACGCTTGTCTGAAATACGTTAACTCGCGTCGGGAGGTGATGCACCTTGCCGTTCTTTCTTTCTCGTAACAATATAATCTGTTGCGCGCGATAACATCGCGAGGATTATTTTCGCGACGTTATTTATTTGAACGATGCGAAGACGACGCACGTACGCATGCGCGAGCGTGCGGGCTTTGAAATCTTTCTGACGCGTGTTTATGAATAATGATGAGCTTGCAGCGCGCCGATTCTCTTCTCTCGTATTCTTTATCAGACTTTGTCTCGAAGCTGAAATCGATTGTGGGTGCGATGCACTCTCGGCGAGAGCGACTGCGTGAGCGAAAGTTGACGGCGATTCGTTCATAAATGCGAGTCCTTTACGAGCGCTAGTTGAGACTTGCGACTGAACGTAACATTAAAATAAAGTATAATATAGATAGTGTGTTAGATGTATAAACGACATATTCCGCTTATAATTTATCTGACGCTGGATTGTATGAACCCTTGTATAAATGTTAATAAACTAATTCGTTTACAAAACAATATCGGGTGTTATTCGTATTCCAGAAAAAATCGCAAATCGTAAATATGAGACCATGTAATCGTCACGAAGATAGTCTTCAATTAAAAGAACGACGAAAGAGTTTCGTATAATTAAGTCAATTGAGATGCATTAGAACTGCAAGTCTAACAGAAAAGCAATTAATCGTTAATTGCTTTAAAGATCTAGTAATTGAGATTTTTCACGCGACTGTAATTAATGTAGAAAACATTTTCGACTTATTAACAAATGAATTGGTCATTTTTCATTTAGCGATGTTACTTTTACGACCTACGACTATACTTTTATAATAAATTGATCAGCCGGTAGCATAGTTAGCTTCACACAGGTTCTTGAAACGTACATAATACGATTACGAAACGTTACATACATTTAAAAAATATATATGAAATTAACATGTACTAGCTGAGCAGTCACCTAATTGGATTGGATAAATTAAATATATAATAAGAATAAGTTAAAATGCACTTGTGTTTCTATTAAGAAGTATAAAGTAACTTACAGTTAGAAAAATTGTCCTGTTCAATGAATTCGAAAGAGAGAAAAAGAGAGAGAGAGAGATACAAAATAAAGTGCAGAAAGTGCAACCGAAACGAACACGTGTAGTGAAATGTCAAAATACCATCGCGAGTGCCATCTGTAAACTCGAGAGTTCGTTCAAAAATGACCGAGGAGAAGATCGGTTCTTTGGAAGAGGAAGCTCTGAAGAGGAAAGAACGGTTACAGGCACTCAAGAGGAAAAACGAAGAGAGCAAGGAAAGCAAGAGTGATGGAGCTGAGAATTTGCCAAAGTAAATTTTTCGTTTCGGCGATACGGTTTTTGTTCTAACCTCAACTAACCTCCGAGTCCGATTAAAATCACTCAAATTTCGCGTTTCTAGGCCGAAATTCCGAAGCTACAAGCCACAGGACGAAAGCCTGAAGAACAATGTGATAGATGACGCGAAACCAGGCGATGTAGAAGCTGTGGTGCAAGAACAATTGGACGCAGCGAGCAGCAAAGTGGTCATTGAGGAACTAGTGAGTTACATGTAAACAGTATACACAGAAGATTCTTACTGCGTTGCATGTGCCACTTTTTTGCACATACATAATATATATATATATATATAATTTTCACCTTGAATTTTATACCATGTCACTATTCTTCATATGACTTTGTGCACATAGAAATAATTCTGTTTATTTGTATAGAATATCAGTAATCTGGCACCGAGGAAACCAGACTGGGATTTGAAACGAGATATAGCCAAGAAATTGGAGATTTTAGAGAGAAGAACGCAGAAGGCGATAGCAGAGGAAGTAAGAGCACGTCTCAAACAGGGCCAACAGGATCTGGCGGCTTATGTGAACGCACCTGATAAAGGATAAGTGTGCCGTTATCAATGAATATGTATATATTGTAATAAATTACATACTTTTATAAAATATATGTAAGTACAAATATCTTTGACTACAATTAACACTTGCTTTAATTGCTATGTAAAATATTATTTGTGGAGCACTTTCATTTGAGTTGCACTTTTATTATACAATAAATTGGTTCTTTATAAGATTTCTTACAATTGTGCACAGTAAAAAGTATTTTGTACTTGTGTTAAAATCGGTCTTTGTCAAAATTTTTGTGTTAATTTTTAACGTGCCCGTGTGTTAATTTAATATATCGTGTTTATGTTGTCTCAATATATTTTATGTTGAGCCAATATTCAACATGTATAAGTGTTAAAATAACATTTGTAAGCGCTAAGATAACACGTTTTATACTTCGATTGACATATCATGGATATAAATTTTGTATTAATTTCTGGCTTTTTTTTATTAATATTTGCATTACTTTTTAACATATTCACCTTGTGTTAACACAAAAATTCGTGTGGACTATTTAGGACATGTGAAATATATTCAGCACAACATTTTTTACTATGTGTACACTTCATGACGCAACCTCGACTATATTATATCTTATTGGGTCAGTCAAAAATGTCCGTTTGATTTTTCAATTTGACTTTATTATACAATGGAAATCAATTATTCGTCAACCATGTAATCGGCGTCGTTGTCAATGATCCTTTGTCAACGTTCTGGCAGGTTTCGTAGAAGAAAGCCTCTATTGTAGAAGATGGTCAGTTTATCGTCGAAAAAGACAAAAAATCAAAGCGAATTTTTTGACTGATTCAACACTTTAACAACTAAATGGATATAGATAACTATATATTACTATCAGCCGCAGTTATTCTGACGCATGGAACATTTCAGTTGCGTCCTGGTGTTGCGATCTTGGATCGTTTTACAACAACATCGGACACGCACACACAACATCAAGATGCTATTATCGAACTGTTAAAAATCCAAGTAATCACAAAAAACGTATTCTGATATCGGTTAAATGCGATCCTCATGGAGAACATGAGAATGTGCATCGGAGCATTCGCTCAATTGAACATCTTAATCCTCGAACGATATGGCAAGATTAAACGTAATTCCCATTTTATTCTGCTTAATAATATTTAATACACATGGTTTTTATTTAAGGATTTGAAGTAACAGTTAAAGGATTAAAATAACAATTGGTGAGCGCTGTTGACTAGAGGACGTTCCGTTCAGGTCTTCATACCAAAGATAGGCCAAGTCCTAGTAGAGGTGCCAACGTATTCCCCATGTAAGACGACTTGGTGTTACACTGTCCGGAATTCTGTTCCTGCGGAATGTTTCGGTAAACTTCTCGGTCTCCTAGAGGCTGCGGAGGCCGGAAGTTATGGGTCATCGGAGTGCCGTCTGATGATTTCAGCTTGCGGAAATCTTTCAACTGTAATGAAATAAGAAACATTAATTAATCATGATAGCAAGAAAGTCGCGTTCCGATTGAAGCCTGTATTGGCACTAATTCGCATAAACACGTCCATTAAATCATTGCGTATATTTTACACTCGTGGCGTAATTGATATAAGCCTAGTGAATTTAAGATACATAATTCTTGGAAATTCAAAAGAGCACGATCGGATTTGGATTAAATCGGAAAATAAAAGTTGATTAAACTGTCGAAAAATGTGTGAGAGGAAATGTTTAATTTAACAAACTTTACTTTTGTGCCAACTTATGAGTAATATCGTGAGAGATAATCAACACAACAATTAATAGTTATATTGAATGTTAGATACCTGACTATTTGCCAACTCTAGGATCGTTTCGAAGACGAACCACGTGACACTCTCCGAACAAGGTGGAGTGGTTAGTGAACCGTTGTACGTGTAGTAAGTTTGAAAATTTAAGGTTGGTGGTAAAATTAAATTTTGCAACAGGTCGCAATCACACAATGTCTTATTCATACCCGCATCTTTCATGTGTTGTAATGCGCTCGTTATGCGTGTCAATATCGGATTTTTGTAGAAGAAGAGTCCCTTCGGGACCTGTAAATTGGAAACAAAATTAAACTAGGACGTCAGTTCCTAAGTAAATAATGTCAGCGGTACAGGAAACAATTTTAGAATTAAAGTGATCTGAAGTGATCGCTCAATACAATTCTTTATAGAGAAAAAACAACTCTATCGATTTAATTTATGTCCTTTCCGTAACGCAAGAAGATCCACATAATCTCCCTTACATGATACATATATCCTAAAACAGCCAGACCATCAGCGTGATTAACAGCCTCCGCCATCGATTTGTATTTTTCATTGCGGCAGACGACGTGCATCTCCAGCGAGCACGGTTTATTGTTTATTAGAGTTTCGGATCCTTCACTATTATTCCTGCCCCAATGAAAATGCAACTGCTGGAAAGTGTATGTATCTTTTAAGGGTCCTCCTTTCACTGTTACCTCCATATTGTCGGTTGACTGTAGCTGAGCTGAACGAAACAAGAAAAGAAGAAGAGCGATTACAACGTGTAACAGCCCAATTATCACACGCGATGCATCAGCCTCTACAGAGTTTCTTTTTTATGTAATCTGAGTGACCTCGCGCAGGAGTATCTTTCAAGTATCTCTCCGCATCTGATGTCCGATTACGTATTAACTTGATTAGGTTGTTCACGGCGCGTTTAATCCTCCTGTCGGGAGCCAGCGGCGTATATCGTTCGCGCAGTTTTTATCTCAACCGCGCGCGCCACTCCGCTCGGTTCACTCATGTGCGATTTGCCTCTTTTTTTTACAAAGGGCAAACGATAATTGCAGTCGCAGTGCGAAGTCTCTTTCCTTGTTTTTGATCTTTCCGGTGTTATACCGCGAAGAGACGTTTTTCTCCGTTTTTCTGCGATCTTCGCGAACGTGGAAACGTGATCGCGACGGATTTCTCAGCGACACGTCTGAGATATCACGTGAAAAACAACCTCGGCTACGGTTAAATGTATGGCGAGATCGGATTAACGGAAACATCGGCGTAACATTACTTAACGTTACGTGGCAATACTTGATGAAGAAATTAAAGAATAAAGAGATAGAAAGGCTCTTTGTAAAGCGCGACGCAGAAGAGGAATATCAATCAGAGCCGAAACATGGTGCACTTGAGAGCCAGGAGAAAAGAAATTGAATACTGATTGAATACCGATTGAATACTGTCGAATCCTCAGTAGCCGAATTGATACGGTGCCCTGCAGGGTACGTAAAAAGGTCCAGGTCCTGGCTGAAGCGGTACTTTTCGCAACACTTACATTAAAATTCCTATAAGGTCTGGGAGTATGTTCTAAATAAGGAAGGGACTAATTAGTATGAATAATTAGTTGCGGATTAATAGAGCTGATTCGATGTGGAAAGTGTGTTACTGGAATAGCACCATTCGTGCGTTGGAGTCTGGAGAAAAAGTCCGGCGCGCGTGTGTGTTTCATTATTACATTGTTAGATAATTGTATCCTCCCGCTAAGATTTAGAAATTCGCGCCTAACATCCAGCGACGGCTCTTATTTACCTATTGCGACCTCGTTCGCAGAGAAAAGAGAAAGGAAAGAAAGAAAGTTCTTTGATTTGGGAGAGAAAGAAACTGAAAGAAAACTGATCGGACCTAAAATGAAAATTTAAATGCACGAAGATCTGCAGACTGTCCAACTAAAATACCAAACGATCCACTTCGAATCCTTTTCAGCGGTACGACTAACAATGACCTGCGTGTACTTCTCAATACACGATGTTTATAAAATATTTAAATAATATAGATATTAAATACTTAGCAAATATTCAAGTGTCCGGTGAGGAAAGTCTCAGGTACGAGAGAGATTATGATTTGAATATTTACAAAATATTTAATATCCAAGTTTTTAAAATCTTTTATAAACATTATGCGCTGTCTGGATTCAGCGTTCGCATTGTGTAGAAGAAGAACGCGATTATCAACAAAAATTTGTGAAACAATACTCAGACAGCACCAAGTCCAAAATCAGGACATAAGACGTCTTTTAGATGTCTTAAAAACATCTTAAAGACGCCTTATATCACATCTTAAATACGTTTTCAAGACGTCTAAAAGACGTCCCGATTTTGGACATTTGTGCTGTCTGGGTAGTATTCTCTCACCTGAGTGTCCGTTGTTCACGAGGGTCAACTGGCACGAATCCTTGTCGAATGGATTCTTCTTATATGTCCGGAACGAAACTTCCAACGGCGGAAAGCTGCTGCTTTTGGTATCTTTTACTATTATATTAATGGGCGATTGATTCTTTCCCCCACATGTTTCGGATATTTTGCTCCAGTTCTCCGGACCTGCGAAAACAAGAGGAGACTCCTCGTATCATGTCGTATCGCGAAGGCACGCGCCGTCGAACTACAGACGGCCGAGTTTCCCCCCGACTTGGACTCACCGTTTTCTCCACTATAGCCGAATTCAGCGCCAAGGCAGAGTCCTGAAAAGAGATAATCGTTTGAGAGAGTCATCGTGATGGATACGCGTGATGGATACGTGTGAGAAGTCGGGTGAAAAGAAAAACGCGCGCGCGCGCGCACACAATGTGTGGTATGAATAATAACGGACGGTATAAATAGAACGGAGTCCCGATTTAACGGGCGACGAATAGAGATGAGCGCGAGATACCGTTCAGGAAATGATGTTTTAATTCGGTTCCGTATTAATGGAAAGAGAGAACGCGATTTTCTTTCCCTCTTTCTTTCGTTCAGTCACACGTAACATCCAAGAGCGAACGGATAAGCCGCGCGGCGCGCGCGTAATGATTATTCCGCGATTGATTTTTAAAATATGCACTGACGCGCGCAAGTCGGCCCGCCGGGAAATCTTTGTATGCCTTTGACTAGTGCTCAGTAGGCATATCTCGTCTAATTAGCACCGGTTAATAGCACTTCGGAAGAAACAATGTTACGACACGCGACTTCAAGCTCAGATAACTTAATCAGATTCGTGAAATTATAGTTCGCGGGGTGCAAGTCTTGTCCGTTGAAAGGAAAACTTATTTTAACACTGAGCACTGAGAAAAAAGGTATTTTGTATCTTTAATTACATAATCATTATAACTGAAAGAATTACAGTCGGAAGCAATTTTTTGATAAGCGTTACTACTACAAAGTGTTAGATTTAAGTAAATAATCACTCCAATATTCCTTAGGAAATTTCCATTTGGATCAAGTAATATTTATTCGATCCAAGTGGAATATTTTCCAAATAAATTATCCAAGTAAAATATTTACTTTATTGAAGTGAAATTTATTTAATTCAAGTGAAAATTTATTAAGGAGTATTGGAGTAATTATTTACTTGTAGCACTCTTTTTTTTTGTGTGTCAGTGTCAGTGATAATAATCTGATATGCATGTTACCATCACTATTTTTGTGGTTAAAATCATAAAAGAAGTGTATAGTTGAAGCCGTAGATAACAATAATTTTTCTTGGTGCTTGGTAATCAATTAAATTTTGACGATCAAATTTATCGACCCCCCCCCCCTTCCCTCACTCTTTCTCTCTTTCGGGGGTTATTCGTCTGAAATGATAGAAAATCTCAAGTAGAAATATATCAGTCTGAGTCAAAAGCTAGTAGCTGGTTGGTATAGGCTAGATTAGATTTTCTAATTCGTTACTTTACTTAAGTAGCACATGTTAATTTCATATACGTTCTTTAGGACATATGTGACGTTTCATAATCCTATTACATACGTTTAATTTAAGAACAGTACATGAAACTAACTGTGCTGTCTGAGTAGCTGGCTGATTATTCACTAGGACGTAGATACAGTTTCGTTATCTAGCCGTTGTCTAGCTATTACGTATCAAATATAAAAGAGCAAATAGCGCTGTCTATATTCTAAAATATATAATCTAGCTACTATACACCCGCCACTAGCATTTAAAAATGAGGTAACAAGTCAAAATTTGAGGTTACGTTATTCCATAAAAATCTGAAAAAGCAGAAGTGAGCGTTATATTACTGCCGGGCAACTCTTCGTCACGCAACTGTAATTTCTTTTATTCAATTTAATCATCAACTAACTTATTCTTTTAGCCACTGGGAGAAAGGAGCGCTACATTATTGGCTGATAGCGACGTTAGACACAAATTTATTACTTCATGATTAGACATCTGTGAGGTACAATTTCTGCTAGGGAACCAAAGATATTTTGTGTCTTGAAACGCATACTTGATTGCACGAACGTTCGTTATATCGCATGATGCAACAGATTGTATTAATTACCGTGTATCTAACGGATCGATCATTAGACGCGCCGACGGCGGAGGATTCTCGCGGAAGGCGAAGTTCGAATTTCGAATTCTTCGTCTCTCTCTTTCTCCTCGAGAGAGAGAGAGAGAGAGAGAGAGAAAGAGACGATCGGCCGCTTTCGCGCGTTCATTACGCACAAGAACACTTCTTGATTGTACGCTAACGAGTGCGCACGGTGTCTAACCGGTGCGTGAATCGCCGCCTGCTCTCGTTGGGGTCTTCCGCATCTGCACGACACGTGCGGCCAGCGAGGATTCGCGCGAGTGTTACTTTTGTTTCGGCGCGCGCGAACGGCATCGCGGCGAGGGTCGTCATCGTCGGCGACGTGACGCGTCGTCTCTGGAAATCCTTGGACTGATTTGATTTGAGCCGCGATTATCTCGAGTACACGCATCCCGAGAGCATCCTTGTCGTCCTTCCATTATGCAAACTCTTTATTGCGTCGCCCGATTACGTGAGGCGCGTGCGAGGAACGTCGGCCGGCCGGCCGGGCGACAGCGATGATCGCGGAACGAAATTCTCGATCTCGAACCGCGATCGCCGCGTGAAGAGTTCTCGACGGGAAGTGTCCTGTTCGTCCGGCGGATGACGACCGTTGCTTTGCAGATTTCCTGACTCGAGGCAGAGCGGCATGCGAGCGGAAGAGCCGGGCGTCGAGTGCGCAGCGGCAAAGAGTCTCTGATTCGATTGCAGCGGCTTTCGATTGATTCGAATTGCGCTGAACGAACAAAGTCACGAGGAACGAATGATTCTTTCGCTAGTTAATCGGGAAGCCAGAAATTCTGCTTCCTTCAACCAAAATGCATCTGATTGTTCCCTCTTTCTTATATGAATTACAACTAAACTTTACAACTAAACATACAACTATCGGGATGATTGCCAACGAGTGTCCGAGATTCGGAAAGATTCGTCGAATAGACGGGAAGATTCGTCGAAGTGAGACTGCGAATCAGAGACGAGTTTGCCGAGCTCTTTCGTTTTCTCTTGCGGGTTCTGCTGGCTGCTCTAACAATAGACCAGTAAGTAAATTTAAAGAAGACGAATGTCTTCCCTCCTTCCTCCCCTCGTTCCCTCTCTCTTTTCCTTCCTTATTAATCTTGAATAATAAGATTAGGGCGGTCGATATTGCACGTAGTCATCAGAATTGTATGAGATGTGAGACGTCGCGCCCGACCAGAAGCTGTATGGACGTCGTACATCATCCATTTGTCATTTTCAGTTTATTTGTCATTTAGTTATTTGTCATTTCACTTGCGAACGCGAGTCTACGAATGCGAACAGACCGTGCGTTTCGCACAGTCTGACTAGCGTGGCGCACATTCACGTTCGAAAAAAATCCAGTACGAAATCCTAAGATTGATGTGTTATATAGTTGGTGAGCAGTAAGTTTACATTAACGCGGGTAAGAACGAACGATGTTCTTGTTAATCTTGCGACTTGCTGTCACTCTGATATCCGCCGCTTCGATCGAACGCGCTACTGGAATTTCGATACATTAACACTAGTTAAAGTAGTTATTAATTATCTTATATTTCGAAAAAAAAATGTGTGTCGCGTGCGAGAAGCTATCCAGTGATAAAATTGCTCCGTTAAAATCCCAATATCCTACACGGAAACAAAAAGTTTAGTTGTATGTTTAGTTGTAAAGTTTAGTTGTAATTCATATAAGAAAGAGGGAACAATCAGATGCATTTTGGTTGAAGGAAGCAGAATTTCTGGCTGTAAGAAGCACGTTTGGGTCACAGGAACCAGAAATTCTGTTTCCTTCGATCAGAACGCATCTGGTTGTTCCCTTTCTAGTTAATGCAAACATTTTTTCACCCATCATGCGTTATCTTCTTCATCGACTGTCCACGTATCGCGGTGGAATTTGTATCTTTTAACAATTAAAACAGCCTTCGGCAATGGTGTCGCTCGGACAAGCAATAATTCGTGGTGTTTCATGCTCGCTTTGGGAACGCGACGTGTGCCAATAATTAAAGAGGAAGCGTACGGTTTCTCAAGTTCTAGGTTCTTGTCTTAATTACACTTGATCACTCGCGAAGGCGACGCGCGCGCGCCTTTTAACAATAAGCAAAAACGACGAGGCGTCGGCTTTTCTTCATCTCTCGAGAAATTGAAAACTGTGTTCTCCTGATTATAAGGCCGATTATTCACGGCTGCGTGCCACCGTTCTTATCGGTCGATTCATCGGCGAAGTATGAGACGTCAAATTAGCCGGAGATTAGTGGCGCACCGTAGACGGTCTCGCGACGTGCACGACGAATCGACGGAAATCCACCGGACGCGCGAGATCAATCATTTCCTCGCGAATTCGCCTCGCGTCGCGTCGCATCTTCCTCCGCCGCTCGTTTGACCTCGAATCGTGAAATTAAAGGATTGCTACAATGCGAGAAGTCATTAACTAGAAAAGACTACTGGTTACTCGTGGGACGTGTAATTAAATGATTAGTCATTTGGTATTTTAAGGCGATCATTATCCAGAAATGCGCGCTCACAATTGAGATATGACATATTAAGTGACCCGAGTAGAAACAGAATACGGCAAATTCTAGCATTGAAATATGGACATGATTAGATACACCGTAATATATGGCTCACCGTATGGCACCGTATTATAAAGCTCAAATTTGGCAGTATTGTGTAATAAGATATTTCGGCTTAACTTAGCATGTGTATTTAACGATACCTGTAAAGGCCGTGGCAACCACATGAAAGAAAAGAAGCAGCTCCCACAGCTAAAAATTCACTCTCACAGGTGAAAATTAGCTGTCCATATAATACAACTGAAATTTAGTTAATTATTTTTATCCTTATATCTAATATTTAGCTCCCACAGCTAAAAATTAGATCTGTTAACTGAATTTCACTTGTATTGTATCAACAGTTCTTCCTTTTCCTTTTCCCGTGCAATCAATATATTTCTTTTGGTCTATATATTCTAAAAGATGGAAATTTAAATTTAAAATCCTAATTAGCTCTTTTTATGGCCAAATTTATCGTCACTTTCAACGTCTTTTGGAATACATGAATCTAAAGAAGTATACTGATAGTTGGTCAATTTCCTTATCGCTTAAGTCTTACCGTTTATATTTTTCCATATGCCACGGCCTTAAAAGCCCGAATCCTTATAATCCTGATAAACAATGACGTCATTATGAAAGGCTACTGCAACGCAGATAAGTATAAGTATAATATCTAATTGTGTTCTCCAAATATAGGTAATTTGATCAGGGCCTGATGCAACGGCGCGCGTTTCAATCTTGATTACGGGATTCCGACAATTTATCCGAGCCGTGTTTGAAGCACGGAAATCGGAAATAAAGTTCCTGTAAGACCGTTTGCTCGGGAATGGATGGAAAAGTAAATAGAAGGAGTAAAATAAGCGAACATGAAAAGTGATATCCGAATCATACTGAATTATATTGAGATATACGCGGCCGCCCGAGCCGTCATTGAGCGCGTCATTAGATTCTACAGGGTTTCTCTTGACAATAGGTCAAAAATGATCGTCATCGACATCTCTAATTGAGATTCTTGCGTCCTCGTCACGATGTGTACGTGATGATTCGTCGGCAATTCCGACGCGTACTAACGAGCGCATTGTGCCTATCGAGCGCATCGAGCGGCGGTTGGTTGATGGTATTCGACTATTACCGTGTTATTAGCGGCACGAACGAATCAAGCGGCAGGTACTTTTATTTATCTTTAGTCACGGCGCGTTGATTAACTGATCGATTGGTCATTCTAATTATGAGAGCGCGCGAGGAGCGCGCGAGACACATTTTATTCGCGCGCGCGCGCGCTACGGATCGGCGCGTTTTTGCCGGGGCTCGGGTGAGCAAAAGTCCGCGTTTTATTCGGATATTTTACTAATAAACGAATGCTCGTAGGAGAATAATTAACGTAGCAATGATTTATGCGCTCACGATACATCCGGTTGTCATAGAGTCACGATAGTTCTGTACGTAATGGACTTCACGTGATGAACTACGCAGGACACCGGCTATATTTTTATTTCTTTCTGACAATTCGCTGTTTCGTTCATTGCCGTAATTTGTTGTCGAAGTGCGCGACATTCGCATCGCAGATGTCCCTGTCGCGGTGATCATAGCACGCGGATTCGTGACCAACGCGACAGTCCGCAATCGGACGAAAATACATAATATCCTTCTGTAATATTTAGTAGAATGATATTCGACCTAGAACGCATACACTCACACCGATCGAACTGTCTTGCTAGGTAAATTTATGTTCTTTGTCGTTTTTCTTACAGGAAACTTAGCACGATCGAAGAGTGGTTGCTTAAAGCGGCGGCTAGGTGCCATTCGGCAGGTACTAAATTTTCCATGCGAAAATAAGAGAGAAAAAGAAAAGTGCGACTAACAGAGGCTGAATTCACGATCGTCAGGATAGTTAAATGGGATTAATGGCGAATTCGATTGGATACACCAGTGCACATCAGTACACACTAAGGGTGTATTCATAGTTGTTTATATTTTATATTTAATGTCATTTTAAGTTTTTATATTTGAGATCGTCTTAAGTTCATCTTTAGATGCTCCGCAAACCAATAAGAGGATCCGTGCGGTATATGAAGATGAATTGTAGATGATTTTAAATATAAAGACAAATTACGAATGCGGCCTTAGTATGTACTAATACGTATTAGCATCCGATCGAATTAGAAACATCAGAGCCTATATTAAAAGTTGTTGCTTGAAACTTCTTTCAGATGAGATACTCAGATTTGAATTCAGAATAAAATGTGACTTTTTCAGTTGAAGAGCGTTTATTAGATATAATGTTGTACATCAAACGATTTTCAACTGAAAAGCTTAAATTTAATTTTGAATTAAAATCTGAACATTTCATATGAAAAAGAATATTTCATATGAGTTTTTTAAGTGGCAACTATTAATACGAACTTAGCACGAGTTCGATTTTCAACACGTTCGCTGCTAGCGTCGCACATGTGTGACAGCGATAATTTTTGTTTCTGTACCAACACTACCGAGTCTATTTTACGCGAGAAAAAGTACAATGTGGTCTATGTGGAGAATTCTCCAAATCAAAGCGAATGCATTAACAATTGACACTCAACACGATGAAGGAAATCGGCCCAAAACACCGACCAATATTTCGAACTGCCGAAACTTTTCGTGCGGTTATTGAAACGGAGCCAAAATTCACGACTGTCGTGGCAGCTTTTGAAGCTTTCGTTGCTTGAGTTATTCTATATCCGACAAATGCGTGGGGTATTTTTCACCGATGTTTGACGGGACCGAGCAGACGACGACGAGGAAGAAGCGTCTCCCAGGTATGAAGAAGTGGAGGAACGCCGTTGTAGCGCAGCTCGCTGAGTAATATTCGTCTAAGGGATGAGACTTACCGGCGAGTAAAAGAAGACCGAAAGGAGCGGCCGGGAGCTTCATGATTGTTCACCCTGTCGGCGTCAAGTATCAGAAGAGAAATTTCGCGTCACTGACAGTGAGGCTCGTTGTGGCGGAATTGGTGAAGAAATGCGATCGCTCTGGTTACCGCCGGTGGTAGACTGAGTGCTGCCGGCTCGGTCGACCATGTTAAATAAGAGTCCACCGCATCTATTTCGCGACGGTGCGATTGACTCCGCGGCGGCGGCAGCATGGTCAGCAGGGAGGGACGAAGGATTTGTTTTACGACGCGCGGGGGATCGGCGAATGTTAATTGGAAAGTGCAATCATATGAGCCGCTAAATGCAAGTGGATCAACAGCGAGGATCGATTTTTATGGATCCACGTCGAATTACCGAATCAAGGTCGCGCTCGCGAAGCGCTCGTCTGAGCTTCCGCTCCGCCCTGGAACTTTTCGTCCGCGTCAGTTTGCAGGGCGGCTTCGATATTTTTTTTTTCGGCGCATTTCGAGACGCGTCATCACGACGTCCGATGGAATGAATTTTCTTCCGGAAATTATGTGAAAACCGATTCTCCCGTTGGGCGTTGGCCGCGAAGCGCGTCGGAGAGAACGTGCTTAACACGGAAAGTTACCTTGATTTTTTTTTTAATTGGGGTCCAAATGAGTCCAGGTGACTATTCGTGGGTCAAACCGCTCTGCGAAGCAATGCACGTCGGAAGCATCCCCTATTCGTCGTTAGTCGAATGACAGACGTCCAAATGTTGCCGCTAAATAAATTGTCGTTTCGCGTCTCACGAAGCGAGATCGATTCTCTCACGCTTCCTGCTGAAATTTGCCGAAGCGCGGCTTTTCATCGATTACCTTTCGTTCCTTGCGATCCACGATCGCGCGCAAGGGAAGGGAATACCGATGAGAGAGGATACTGTGTTTAACGCGGAAGCATCTGAAGCTAATTTTGCCGAGTGTGTTATGATTACATGAGCCGCTTCTCGTTGCAGATCGCAAATTAGAGACGACGATTGCTGCGCAACAGTGTGTACTCGCGCGCGTCGCGGTGTTCTTGAAAATATGGCCGACCTTCGCAACTTTCCATCGTTTATCGGATGGTACCTCACGGCAAACACATTGTGAACCATTTACCCTTTCGTCCGTGGCGCGGTAAAATAAATGGATGGTCATTAGTCACAGAGATATTCCGCCCTCGGACGTTTCTACGTCACGAAGAGGTGATGTCACGTAGTGCAATATTTTTACGTCGCCGGTTGCAGTCTGCGACACGATTGTGATCACGATTCATTATTAATTATCTTCGACAAATGTTACTTGATATTTAAGCGGTCGGCGCGGAAGTTGCGGGCATATTTCCGGTGATATGCGGCGAACAACTTACGGCACTTGCCTAACGCCGCGCTTCCCCATATTTCTTAACTTCCGTTTCGGTGAAAATCACTCTCTCTCTCTCTCTCTCTCTCTGTCTGGTCCCCTTCAGCAATTCAGCTACTACCTGCCGCTAATTCGTTGCACAATTCGCGATCTCATTTCGCGATCTCGATCGCCAAATTGGCTATTGAAGGACAACGAATGTCTAATAACATCCTGTTTTTACCGTCAAACTCTGCTAATGGCGAACTGTCATGTGTGACTGTATCGAAAATATGACAGCCATGTAGAATAATATCGAAATTGTACTCATAATTATTTGTAATGTCGCGTGATACGTTTCACGATTGACATCTATATTTTTGAAAAATCGCTGAATTTTAATCAATACTAAATTGTAAATGAAGATTTGAAAAAAAAAAATAATAATGAATCATGAATCGTCATACATTCGTACATCGTTGATAATTTCTGTTCGCGGAATAATTTAAGAACTAAGTCGGGACTATCGAGCGTTTGAAATTGTAAAAAGTTTGAAATTGTAAAAAGGGTATAATGTTAAAGATACTTGGAAATGTTAGGAATATTTAGAATTGTACATAATTTAACATTGTGGAAAAAATACTGAGAAACAATTTGAATAACAAATGATTATTTTAGTTCAAGTCCCGATAAATCGTACCGACACGTCCTTGTACAAGCAACACCTTGAGTTAACCATCGCGAAACATGTACATTATATTGGAGGACTTACAATATAAGACACGATAAACTGAGCAAGAAGCGTTTAGTCAACATAGGTCGAAAAATCATCTTTGTCGGAAATAGAAAAGATTTTCAGTATCGATAATATATGACCGGTTCGCATGTTTTTTTTCATTGCGCACTACATGTTAAACCAAGGGTTATCTTATCGTTTCGATACATAAACATTAACGGTACAACATTAGATATTATTAAACGACAAAGGTACGTGAACAAAGTTGTGAAATGGGCGGAATAGACGAGCGAGATAGACGAGCGAGATAGACGAGCGAAAACAAAGGCACGACTCGGAAAAATATCAGGGAAACAGTGCCGAAAGCTCGATTTCAGCTTCAGTGAGCAAAAACGGGAAAATCCTGTTAACGGCGAGTTTCATGTCGTAAGTGTTCCGCAAGCGGACACGGTAAACGTTGCAATAGAAATCCGTGAGGCGAACGAGTGAAAAACGGATGCAAGGACAGATCGCGTTGTCGGTTACTGAGATCGACGCTTTTACGGCGATATGTGATCAAAGGCGGCATCTTTGCGCGGATTCGCCATGCAAATAATCCACGCCGGGCGCAATAATGCGCTATCGGCGAAATGAAGAGCTTATCGAGAAAGCGAGCTCGTTTGTCGGTCGAGTCATCTCCTCAAATCCGTGTTTTCCGAAAGAATACATATTTACAGTTTTATTGCGCAACATTGAAATCCCCATCTTTGAGGAAATATAAATATATACGACGCTTCGAAAATAAGCTCGCCAATTGGACGTTATCGAGCCGATTGTTTGATTTTAATATCGTGTCTGTTACCTGAAATTATATATAGGAGGGTTCAGGACTTTCATTCCCACTCACTCGGGATCCCCATTTGAGTACGAATTCATCGTCATCTTGGAAGCGATTCTCGTTTCGCGGAGATTCGCGAAACTCGGACATGGACTTTGCGTTTCTACTTTTCGTAAGGCCAAAAAAAGAATTCCATGAAATACCAAGTTTAAAATTAATATTTTAAGTTAGTTTCTATTCTTTTTTTGTTCGCTGATAAACGTTCCTTGAGTGACGTGATTCGAGTTAAGCGAACGAGCGTTTTACGAGCGTTAGTGAAACATCGAGCGGTAAAAGCACGTGCTCACAATAGAACCAAAGACTTGTTTAAGTAGACATAACCCCTTTTTTCATCGCGCTCATCATCGCGTATTGTTTCAATTGATTGGTCATACACCTCAGAACATCCCCTGTCATTTGCAATAATCTTAGTAACTTAACTTACAGAAAAATAGGTTTCTCAAGGTATAAGTGCATAAAAAAATTGAATTATTCTGGAATCACAATTTCTTTCTCTTTTTTAAGAAATATTTAGAATTCGCATTTCCAACATATTTCATACTTTTTGTTGTTTTTATTGATATGAGAAATGTTTAGGATACAATTTGAATTTGAATGATTTTGAAAGAGAAATACCGTGGAAAGAAATTTTTTACGGTAATTTTTTCATTTTTTTTAAGGTCCCCATATTTAAGCTTCCAGGATATTTAGATGCTCTTCTTATGTTAGGACATCCTGTATAGAATATGTCCATATATAAAAATATATAATTATATATATAAAAATCTTCTATATATATATAGAAGATTTTTCTCGAAATGTGTCCAGTTAAAATCTGTCGCATTTCTTTTTCTGAAGAAGATAATTGTATGCATTTAACTGTTAAGTTAAATGAAGTTAATATGTTACATGTTAAGTGATAACACATTACCTTCAAAGAAGTGCAGCTGAATACATTGTGAACAAATATGTGATATATAATATCTAATATTATTATATTAACTTCATTCAACTGCAGTCAAATGCATGTAATTATTTTCTTTACAGAAAGAAGTAAATGTAGCAGACGTTTTAACTGAGTATACGTGAACTTTTTAAAACGAATTTTTCTACTGTTGCGAAAAAATTGAAAAAAAATCGATCTTTTGAAACTATATTCTCATTACTTTTAACAACATTTACCAACAACATTGTTGCTTAAGGAAGATACAACGATATTTCCAGCATGGAAGCGTGCAAAACGCACTCAACCTATGATGTACTGCGAAATAATATCACGCTCGTTGGGAAACGGCGGCACGTTGAAGTTTAACTACGGAATATCGTTGCATTCCGGGAGTGCGGTTCTGAAAATTTCGCGCGATTAGCCACGCCAATAATGCACCGTCAGGTAGGCAACAGAGGCGTAATGTTACCGCTCGACCATTATCCGTCGATTGCACAACCGCAACAGAGATGCAGATAACAATCGGCCGGATAATGCGTTAGATATAGCTTGCATATTGCGGTCGTCCGACTGTCGACGATGCATCATTATCATCGACTACGCTTGCTTACGCTTATGCTGGTTTGCCGTCGATAACGAGACGTGGTCTTCGTGATCTTCGAAAGAGGATTACGGAAGGGAACAGCTGTGATGTCATATATTACCGAATCGATGCTACAGTCTGACGTCCGACGCGGTCGGCCATTTGTCGCGCGAGACGTGATTCGTTTGCACGTTCGCTGCTAAATCATTCCTTATCGCGCGTCATATAGAATATAAATTTTCGTGAGCCACTGAATAAATAAAACCGAACACATTCTTACAGTTCATGTAGATGCAGTTTAATTTATTCGCTCGATGATTGATTAAGATTTATCGACATTCCACGATAAGAGATTGACGGCGTAACACGCGACGTGAAATCAACAAAATCCCGGTGACCGGTGCTCGTCGCGTCAGTAAGCTGCCGAAATTCCGTGTCGCAGCTTTTTAATGAAAGGTCATTCCTCTAATTTTGTATGTAACGTCTGACCGGGAACTTGCAATTCAAAGCGATTCTTTAAAATGTAAATTTGAATTCACCCAAAGTCCTGGTACGAACGGTAAGCTCGCTTCGCGAACTTTCCTATTGAAAAGTGAACTTTTCTAATAAATATGTTTTCTTCTTCTCGACCACTTTTTCTAAGTTTACATCTTAGATTAAGGTACTTCAACCTTAGGACAAAGCGCAGGATATTAGCGGGAAGTATGAAATAGAATATTTCCATCTCTAACATTGAATGAATTTCGCACTGTGCCGCCGATCTTCGCAGCAACCTGACCTAACCTCGCTCTCCTTCGGCGGCGCTCCGAGGAGTGTCGCGCGCATCGCGGAGCAAGTGTGCCCCGCGGCCAATGAGAAACTTTTAGAAATCCCGGCTCACTAAACCAATCCGGAAGAGCAATTTTAGTAATAGTTCGCCGCGTCACGGGCCGACTGTTCCACCTTCAGATAAATTTATCTGATGGATAAATATTTTAAGGATGTTTTCGTTTCATAGCCAATGAAACGAGCCGTGGAGGATCCGAAGACACACATAAGAACGGTCTCAAATAAAATATCTGACTATGAATACCTGTGTGCCTGTGTGGGAAAGTCTAGAAGTCACCGGAACCTAACTAAAGTCTTCGGTGAACAACCAACCAACCAACAGCTGGTCGGCCAATCAAAAGGCGCGCGGTCAAATCGTGCCCTCGAGTTGCACCTCGTGCACTTCTTCGCGATCTTTCCTCGCTGCCTCTCTTTCCCGCCGGGTCTCGCCGGATGTGTCTGTCTCATCGCGAAGGGCAACGGAAGCCTCCGAGTGCAGCCGGACGGGACGTTTACACGGCAGACGGCATTGGGCTGCGCGACGGCGGCGCGGCGCGGCGCGGCACGCAGCCAGGCAGGGAACGCGCGAGCGTGTGCCGTCTCGGGAGCGTGCGTGCGCAACACACTCTCGCCGCGGTTATACATATGTACAGATCGTCGCCGTTGCTCGCCGTTGTCACCGTCGACATCGGCGTCGTTGTTGCCTCGGTGCACGGCTTCGAAGCAGCGTAGCAGCAGCGGCGGCTCGCGCGGATCCTGCGGTGCGCGCAGGGTTCCGCGTGCCCTTTATCCGCCTGCGATATTCGCGTGCGCGAGAAGGCGGCGGCAGTAGCAGGCATCCGAGCAGCAGCCAGAAGCGGTAGTAAAACTGCCGCGGCTAGTGACAACGTTTATTTTCGATACGATCACGGAGGCCGAGCGAGCGAGAGAAAGAGCGAGAGTGGTGGAGAGAGAGAGAGCTCTGCCCCGAAACCGCTCTACAGCGCGAAGTGCGTTCCCGTGGGAGCGCAACGGAGGCCGTCGGTGCAGGTAATGCGCGAGTGCGAGCGAGAGGGTGTGAATACGAAATCCGTTTTGTACACGCTCCGGACGCGCGGGCTTTTTTTCCGTTATACTCCGTTCTGCGTGTGAGTGCGCCATGGTTGCACGAGCGTTTTAACTGGTTAGAGCGGAGAAAGAGAGATAGAGAGTGTATGTGTGTCTGGTGTGTGTACGTATGCATGAGAGGTACAGCGGCGGTAGGGGAAGGGGGGAGCGAGAGAGACCAGAGGGAAGGAGAGAGAGAGAGAGAGAGTCAACAAGGGGGTAAGAGAAGGACGGGAAAAAACTGACAGCGAGTGCCACGACACGAGAAAGAGAGAGAGAACTTCTCGGCTCCGACAGCGAGACGGAGCGAGAAAGAACGCGGCAGCGGGAGCAGTTAAGAGGAGAGGAGATGCGGGGGGGAGCGGAGAGGGACTCTCCGTCAAAATGTCGCTGAAAACGCCAACGCGGATACAGTGATCGTTGCCGCTCGCCGAACTCGGGGCACGTCGTTTCCCTTCGGGCCCTCGAGCTTCGCTCTCTTTTTCTCTTTCTCTCCGTTTCTCTCTTTCTCCTCTCCTCGCCTCTCTCTCCCTCTCCGTCTCTCTCATCCGAACTCGCTCCCGACGACGATCACAGCCACGGCTACAGCGGAGAAAGAAGAGATTCGCGGGTGCATCGACTGCTCACGCACAATCACCCGGTTTGTTTCCCCACGTTTTATTTGCCGTCGTCGTCATCTCAGATATCTCTTGTTTTCCTCGTTCAGGACCCGTGTTTTCCCTACGGCGGCCTGTCGCGAGCCACCCGGTTATCGTCCTCACGACGACGCTCGTTACCCGGATACCGGACGAGATCAGGAAGCCTCCTTCCGACTGGCGACTCGTCGGTAGTAATATTGCGTGCGAGATCGACTCATTGTCGCGAACGCACATTCCCTCCTCGGCCACGACGGCTTTTGTTCACCGTCGTTCTTTATGCCGCGACTTGTTGCGAGTATTCCCCTCATTTCTTTTCTTTTTTCTACAACCGTTCCTTCCGACTGTTAACGGCGACCTCGCGGCCCCGATGATCTATCTTTCTCTCTCTCTCTCTCTCTCTCTCGATTAATAATTAACAATTAACCGCGGATTCAATTCAGTTCCCCTCTTCAGATCGGAGTCCAGTTCCGCGGAAGTACACACGTGCTGGAACACGTTGTAGTCGACCGGAGTTGTTGTCACTCGACCTACCATGGCCGGCCATCGATTGTCCACGAGAAAGCTATGGGGAAACTGACACGAGAACGGGTTAACCATGACTGCGGAGCGAGCGCCGATCTGAATCTCGAGGGAACTCGGGGAAACGGCCACGCGACGATCAGTGTGTCGAGTGTGAACACCGCGAGTGTTTGGTGGAACACTTTCGGTCCGCGCGCGCGATGTTTTGCTGACCGTCGGATTCCTCCGCGGATTTCTGTAATACACGCTGGAATACTCCTGTCGCCGATCGCGTCCGACGTGTTCGCGGGCAGGTAATCGTGAAAAGCGCGTTCGCGTCGTCAGCCGAGGAGTTCAATTAGCTGCAATTCCGAGCGGGACGTTTCGCGCGACCGAGGCGGGTTCGAAAGCAGATCGAAAGGAGCCGGTGACGCGGCGAGCAGGTGATCGTCTCCTCGAGATATCGCGATATAACGTTTGCGCTCGTTACGAGCGTGATTCGCGATGAAAGCGAAACGCTCTCGTGACGCTTTGTTGTTACGACGAATCTCGCGTGAACGTTCGCGAAACGCCGTCGTCTCGCTCGCGCGAAGATCGTTCCCGTGGTTCCACTCGAGTCGGAGTATCGGTGCCTCGTCGTGCTCTAGAATCGGAGTGCTCGTACGCACCTAGTGCTCGCGGATCCTTCGGCAGAAGGATGGTCGCAAAAAGTTCCGTGATCCCGGTTGTCGTTCGAGTAAGTTCTCCGCGGAAAAAAAACAGAAGGAACCCGATCCGCTTCGTAGGGGAACGAAACGGTCCACTTCTTTAGCAGATCCACAGTTTAGCTGCGAAACAATACGCAAACGTGCCGTCGAGAGTTCACTGAGAGAAAGTTAACCTTTTACCACACTCTAGTGATTTTTCGAGGCTTGCTACTTGCAACGCGCAACAGTGACATGTTCCCGAGCCTTTCTAAGTGAAATTAGAGACGAAATTGTGCGACGTTTCTGTGATACTTCTTCTGCAGAGCATCAGCTTATCGCAGAGCATTAGCAAATTAAGTTGTTTTTATGGAGAAGACTTGTACACACGAGAGTTCAAAATGAAATAAATACGCGTTGATCCACTCATGCATCCTTCTTTTCTTAGATGTGTAAGAATATCAATGTTTGCCGTTTACAATTTTATTTTTGTCGGAAAAATTTACCAAAAAATACGTTACTTCATCCCGCCTTTATGGAAACATTATCTCTGAAATATGGTGTGATGCATAACACATGTTTGATTATATAACGCAACAATGAAGCGTGTGTGTTCGCACATTGCGTTGCAACCTCCAGATTGTTGAGTTCTGTTCCGTGAAGTTAATTATACGTAGAACGTGACCCGCCTCTTTGTTCAACCAGTTACGCCCGCGTTTGTCAAATGTGTACAAAGATATTCGTGTATTCTCTACATGTGTATCGTTACATATTGTAAAGAGGAAATTGTTCCTGTCTGCTCAGATTTCGAGCGAAGCGACCCGTTGAAAAGAAAGGAAATGGTGTCGACTCGTCAGTCAAGTAACATGGGAAGCAGCAGTAGTAGCGGCGGCAGCGGCGGCGGTGGTGGCGGTGGCGGTAGCGGCAGCGGTTCGGTTAGCGAAGTCGTGGAAGCGAGTTCGTTGAAGAAACACCAACCGGGAACTACGAGCGCTGGCTCCTCCAGTGGCGGCTCCACCAGCGAGTCCTCCCCGCCTGTACGCAATCTGAATCTCCTGAATCTACCCGTTGAGATCCTGGAGAAGATCTTCGGTTACCTAGGCTACAACACGGTGGCCCACTTGCGCCCGGTGAGTACATCGGGTTTACGCCGACGTAGCCTCCGTCAGCACGAGTCCGAGGTCTCGCTTCTACGCTTCTCTCGATTCTACGCAGTGCTTCGGTGCCTTTGCTCGTAGGTGTGCCACCAGCTGGACCGAGTCTGCGGCTCGATGCTGAACTCCACGTTTCAGAAGCTGCAGGCTCAGATGCTGAGCCGTTTCCAGGCGATCAAGGCGCAAATGCCCAGACGCGAGTCCGCGCGTCGGAACCACCCGTTAGCATGCGAGTCCGACATCATAGAGACCCTTCATATGCGGCTTACCTTGCTGCAAATGAGCTTCGGCAAGCACATCGAGCGGAAGCACTGTTGCTTCTTCCCCGGCGAGGTGGGTATGATCGTAGTGCACTGCTTCGTAGTAGACACGCGTGAATCCGCCCGCGATTCTTTCGCAGATTCTGGACGAGGTGTATCGCGTTCTCTATTATATCAAAGTCACCCCGAAACTGGCGAAACCCTACAAAGTTACGGACGAGCTGTTCGATCTTAGCACCATGGCCATGGAGTATTTCAAGGAGCACATCGAGCCGACATTGCCGGAAATACCTTACTTCGGTGCCGATTTTCTGGATCTTGCGGGGACGTTTTGTAAGTAAAGACTATATACCACTGCCACTCTTACGCGCCACGTGACGCGGCCTCGTGACGCGGCTCTACCGAAGGTTTACCTCGTTCTCTCTCTTTCTCCCTCCTCCCCCTTTGCAGCTTCTAGTACTGTGAGTAAACCATTTATGTGCCTGGACTCCGCGCCGTTGAGCGTCGGAAGCGGTAAAACGGGCAACACCAGCGGCGAGGAGGGTTCCCCGACGCATTGCTCGGACGACCCGGCCCTCCTCGAGCCCAGCGTGTCGCCGCCGCAGTCGAACATGGTCCTGCGAAAGCGTATCCGCAAGATCAAGCAGGGCATGAAGCGGTACAACAGCCAGCTGACGCTGATGCGCAGGGATCTCAAAAGCTGCAAGGCGAAGATCGCCGAGCAGCAGAAGCAGATCGTGGAATACGCCACTCGGCTGGACGACAACGACAAGAAGAACGAGGAGACCTCGCGGAAATTCAGCACACTCCTACAGGTATTTACGCAGGTACATTCGACGGATTCGGAGCAACAGTCGGCAGAGTTCATAATTTCACATGGTCCGCTTCGTACACACGGCTTCGTACGTGAAGCTTACAAATTACGGACTTGGCACACTTTTGCTCTGAAGTTTTCATTTCCGATTCACGTAAGATATTTATTCTATACTTTATGAATATGAATCTTTCTTCGTGTTACGACATTTCTTTCTTCATTTCGAGTAGGGGAGATTGGAGCTAGTTGGCTAGAGGCGTGAGTTGGATTATTGATTGTTTCTATTGTTTTCTAACAGGTTACAGATCGAACGAGGAGAAATTTCAAATATGTCGAAGATGATTATGAAATCCCTACTTGCTCGATTCGACTTCTGTAACTTGTTAAAAAAGATAGAATAGAAATAATCAATTAGCCAACTAGCCCCGGTCTCCCCTTCTTCTCTCTACATTCCTTCTATGCAAAATTTTGCCCTAGAGATCTCAGGCAACAATGGTATCTTTAAGCGGCATGTAGCACTATCGCTGAGTCTATAAAAAAAATTGTTTTTTTATAAATTCATCAATATCCCGGGAAAAAAAGTGATTATATATTTTGCCTTTATATGCCTATATATAATCATGTATAGTCATATAATTATATATGTTCCGTATCTAAAAAGTGCTGTTATATGAATATAATTGAAGTAAATGCTTATGTTTATGGTTGCTCACAATATAAACACTTGATTGAATCAAGCTATTTTTTCCGTTTTTCATTCAACGGTATTTTTATTTGGTATGGACATATATAATTATATATAACTATATATAATTTTATGTGATTATATATAAACATTTTTCCCCGGGATATTACGTAACTGTAACAATGAAGTGCATGCTAGTGACTCAATGATCGAACAATCGAGTGCGATAATAACCGTACCAGGCAGATCCGAGTCACGATACACAATTGTCAAAGTGATAAGTACTTAAATAATGCTTCATAATGTAAAAGTGTATGGCCAGTCACGAAAAGGTTATATTTTTTTTTTATATAAATCTCAGGTCGCATCCCGCGTTCAATAGAAGAATTTGTTGTTTTTTTTTTTTTTTTAGAATTCTCAGCATATATATTTTTTTAGCGAATATGAGATGCGTTGCGAAACTCATAAAGAAAATGTCACAACCTTTTTGTGATCGACCATACTTCAATCGATGTCTCTTGCTGACGAGCAACGACACAATAAACGATATCGCGAAACGCGAGGCCTCACAAACTCGCTTCCGCTCGTTTCCAGGAATTGAACAAATGCAAAACCGAGCTACAATATTGGCGATCCAAGTCACCGGCGATACCGGTGTGCGTGGGCTGCGGCCAGTCAATGCCAGTCCCCACGGAAGATTTGCAAGCCTTAGCGAATCAAGGAGTGCTGCCGGACACATTCGGCGAAGGGCTCGACTTCATTCCCATCGCGGATGCCCACAGTCCCACCGAGATGGCGCCGCAACCCCCTGTAGTCACGCAACCTCCGGCGACGCCGACGGTGGAGATGGCACCTCCAAAGGCTCCCGTGCCTTCGAATGTAGCGTTCAAGCGGAAACCCGTCGTGGAGGAGGCGTCGAGCGATGCCGCGAAAAAGTCACGTCGCACTGCCAAGTCTCGTCAGGCTAAGCGCTCAAAGATGTAAAAAAATCGATAACGCTGATCATGGTACAAATATTTGTTCAACCGGTCTCCGACGGGGTCCTCCCTTCGTAGTAGGGAAGAGCTGGAAGGAGGGGCTCCCCCGCGACGGTGTGTTTAAAGCGCGTTTCTTTATGCCAGCAAGCCGATGATCTTAGAAAAGTACAAAATTCCTCACCGAACGTCCTGCATCTCGCGCAACGAACCTCGTTTTTTGGAAATTCTAGGCCGTGCCGATCGCCGCGCGATCGTTTGTGGAAATCTCTCGACAGTCGATTCTCCGGATTTTCTCACGGACGGAGCAGCTGTGGTCGCCGCCGACATACGGTGCGCCTCGACGATGATATTCTAAAGAAACCTAGCCGATCATCCGCGCTTTGCTCGTAAAGCAACGTCTAACTATACTACTTTCTCGGATTCTTGTTAGAATTCTTTGCGATTGTCATTGCCGACGGTACGTCCGAGGATGACGGAAGGCTCGGGATCGTGTTTGTCATGCATTTAACGGTGCGATATCACGCGATAGGAGAACGTAGCGGCGAGCGTCACACGTTAACGTGGCGGCTGAGGAACACGCTTTCCATTTGGCTCTCCGATCAAAAGAGCGCGCGCAGTGGCTGTTATCCTGAGGGCCTTTCAGGATGGCACGCGTTTGCTAGAATCTAGACTGAATACCGCGTCTTCAGCATTTTGATCGAACAGGACAATACGGTAACGGAGGAAGCGTATTAAGTCACGTAAATGCGGAAGCTTCTGTACAAAGGTTCTGTAAGAGGTATGAGTTATTGTGTATCGGGAAAGGCCGATGAACGTATCAACGGGAATTTTATTCATTCATTCACGGCGCGTTGACTCACGTGTAAAGTCGAAATTGAGCCTCAAGCAAATTTTATTTCGCTGTATCGATCGACAAGTACCTGACAGAACTGACGACGAAGACTGGTTCGCCCAGGTACTGCAGATGCACCAACAACCACCATATCAATTCGTTTTGATTAGTTAAGCCTGCTCAATTTAGAAAATTGGTTCGTTCACAATGATTAGATGCCATTAGGTGCCACGCGTTAGAAGAGAGAGATATTTTATATTTATACATATATTATATATATATATATATTTTTCGTCCACAGTTGGATATAATTTTCCTTTGGTATTTGTCTATACTTGGATCGAAAATTGATTTATATATATGTGGGGCTGGATAAAAATCAAAAAATTCTGCATCTTAAATGGTCTGGTTCTAGCCTTGCAGCGCGAGACAACTAGAAGATGTCTAACACGCAGGTTCAGGTCACGCTGAAGAGCGAAATGTTGATGAATACGCATGCCTGCAAAGGCGTTAGTTTATTTTTGTGAATACGCCATCTCTCACCGAGCAAGAATTACGAGATGGAGTACATTGCAATATTAATAGAACTAGATAATTATTTATAGGAATGATTCTATTTAGATAAATAAATTGGGTATCATACCGTTTTGTACATTGTGCAAAAGAACATGAAGTCTTTTTGTTTGTTGTGTCAATCGAATCGACGGAAATTCCTGTTCATGTGAGAACACGCCACCGACCGGGAAAAAGCTTAAAAGACGCGACGGGCGTTCGCGAGTCACACGTGGATCGAGAATTTTTCGCAATCCGTTCCGGGAGTCTCACGATTTACCTTGCGCGATGAAAACGATTATTGGTACAGTAGGAGCAATTGAACTATCTTATTTGCACCGATTACCCAATTAATCTCAAAGAAGCATAGTTAGACATATTGTGAGTTATTCATGATTCTAGTTATAAAAGTGGAGAAAAAAAGGAAGGATAAATAAGTGCGCGCGAACGCGATACTATATATTATAAATATATATACATATAGATTTATATGTATATGAGCGTATATATGTACATATATGTATGTATATATATTTGAGTGGTACTCGCCAGAGTTTGTCGACGTACCACGCGGAACACATTTTAGTTTAAAACTTTAATGGAACAATAAGATTATATATATATATAACGATTAATTAATTAATTGAACGATTAATTAATTAACGATAAAATAATTATTGAAATATATATGAAGTAAAAAAGTATATATATATATATATATAATTTTTTATCGATGTCAAAAGGAAATTAGAGATGATGATGAGAAACAGAGATAAACTTTAGGGTGTGCAAGTATATATAATATGGGAGAAAACGTTGCGGCACGCATACGTGTGAGGTGAATGTGTGATATATACGAATAATGAAGTTATAACTAAATTCGAACTTCTGAGGATCTTACGATGTGATGCTTTATCGATTTAACCGCGGGAAAGTGACCTTTATTCGAAATATAAAATACACGTAGGGCGAGTCTCTGGCTACATAGGAGAGCATGTAAAACTTCACTCTAAATGTGTTTACGTTGTGATTAGAGAGCGCATCGCGGGGGCGGGCGTAGCCGAATCGCACGTGTCGGAATTTCGAAGACGCTTGCACTGTAATATGTTCGCAAACGCGACCGTCGCGAGTAGCGGCGGCGCGTCTCTCTCTCTCTCTCTCTCTCTCTCTCTCTCTCTCTCTCTCTCTCTTTCTCACTCTCTCTTTCTTTCGAGTTCACCCGCAGAATAAAAACGAGAATATAGGAAACGAGAATGACGATAGGATGACGAAATAACAATTCGCATCGACTCTGTTTCGTCGTTCTCGGGTCCCAAAAATAAAAAGAACAAAAAAGAAAGAGACGGACGCGTGTGAATTTAGGATCGACATCCGCGTGATGGCCAATCGCATCAACGTCAGTCTGTGCGGTTAACTCGTATCAAACTTGTATTCAATTGTGTACCTGGTTAATAGCTTTCATTTTTCTCTATACCTGTGCCGTAGAAAAGATCACAGTGCGTTAACATAGTACAGGATCTTCATGAATTCGCAGTTACTTCATGAAAGGTCGAGCCTTTTTATGATGAGGCTGAATTCGCGAATATCCTGCGACATCATTCATATGTCGGCCCCTGATTCGGAATACTTACTTGATCCTGTAATCCTGTCATCGTCTACATACGGGTGTTCCAAAACTACCGGATGTCTTGTTTTCATGATTTTCGGATCTGTTCGGAGTTTTTCTCGACGAACGAGAATGTCGAGGCGACTGATAGTTTTCGGATAATTAACGAAGACACGGGCCTTGTGACGAGTTAAGCCTTAAAAGAGAAAATTAGTCAAATCATATTTTTCAATTTCGAGCGGACCTTGCGGTGACAGAATTTTAATTCGGGATTATTTACAGAGAAACGTGCGTTGTTGGGAGTCGATGGAAGGTGTGAGAAATGACCGTCTACCTCGATATTTTCGCTGTGGAAAAACCGCCATTCGACTGGCCGAAAAAATTGCGGTTAAGATGACATCCGGTGGTTTCGAGACACTCCGCGTAAAAAAGAACGGCGAATGATTAATCCAAGGTTAATTCGCTCACTTTGTCGAGCCAAGACATAAAGATAAATTTTGTTTGTCCTATTTTAGATAAACTATAACTCGCGACAAGACTTTATTTATAATTTTACGCGCGGTGTAATTCAGGAAATACTCCACAGATGATACGAGAGAGAGAGAGAGAGAGAGAGAGAGAGAGAGAGAGATGCATATACACCTGTATATATATGTAATTTAAATATTTCCATTTCTAATTTCTCAAATGTTTTCTTGCAACAATATCTGTTTAGAATTCTGCCGCGGATTACAGATTGTCTAAAATGAAATTAATTCAGGATTAGTCGACCGTCTATCGGCGTGAATATCAGTACAAGGGCCAATGGAGGGTCAACGTTGTTTCACAATAACCCCCGTTTAACTTCACCTTCTGTCTTCGCGAACTACGTATCAATGGAACAGAGGACGATTATGTAAAAAGAGCCGACTATAGATTCGCTGACCAGAGTTAGTCGACCGGGACTGTCGGTGCAACTCAGCCTAAGCCGTACCTCACGCACACCTAAACTCCACCATCACCATCACCATCATCACCATTATCATCATCATCATCACCACCACTACCACCACCACCACCACCACTACCACCATCGAAACAAACGTTCGACACTCCGTTCAACACGACGTCCGCACTTTCCTGCACGTCGTCATTCGTCTGCAATTAATTGTCGTCTTTGAAAAAAAAAAAAAAAGAAAAACAGAAAAGAAAGATGAAAGGAAAACTGGAAAAAGGGGAAAAGAAAAGGAAGGAAAGAAATATAATAGTATCACGCTCCTCTCTCTCTCTCGGCTTTCCGACATAATCCGTCCCCGAACGAGATACAAATGTAGAAGAAACTGTGTACTCTACGCATATATGAATCTACTAAGTTTAGACGTACGATCGAGTATAAAAACGATGGATTATATGCGATTAGGAGTAGAAATAATTTCCTAGACGGTAGTGCTGCGCTCGGGGGAGGGGGAGAAGGGGGAGGGGAAACTACCGAATGCATAGGGAGAAGAAGGCGGAGGCGGAAGACGAGGACTATGATTTCTCTCTCCCTTCGGCATTGTCTGCCTGTCTCTTACACCCCGAAGAAGCCTGCTATCCGCAAAGTGTGTAATGCAAGCGAGCGAGCAAGCAAAGCAAGCAAGCGACGGTCCTTGCCTCAGGTACACGTACACACAACACGAGATATGCGATGCATATATACCAACAGACACACGTACACATACAAAATAGACAAATATCCACGAAACCGCCACATGTGGACGTGGTACACCTCCTTCACGGCGACAAAACGAAAAAGGAAAACATAGAACTCACAATTTTGCCAGCGTTCACGGTAGCGGGGAGGAAGTTAGCGCCGTGACACGCCGAAGAATACTGATATATTATCTTAAATGGTTTTACGTGTATTAAAGCGATTGTAAATATATATATTAGATACACCTTATAATAAACATAATTTAACATAACGTTCCAACTATGTTGCGTTTGTCGCACAAAGTCATTCGGTTAAGTGATTAAGTCGTGGGGTGTGATTGAATTATAATTAACTGTTGTTTATATGAAGATAAAAGGCTTCGAGAGAGTCTCATTGTCTGTAATAATAACCGTTTGCAAACGAGTAATGCGCCGAACGATGGATGTGTCATGTTTGTATTTAGAAATTGCGCCAAGAGAGACTTTTTCCATTTGTATCGATAGTTTTTTGTGCTACACGAATGAGTAAATTTAATTTGGATTTTTCCTCCTTGAAGATCTTCATATACGCAACAATTTTCTGTCTTTTTATGGTATATTTAATAATCGTTAAAGAACATTGGAAGGTATTGACGGAACAACGCGATGTTTGTGACGTTGTCGAACTGTATTTGCCGAAGTTTAAATTCGAGATTATCTTGGGAACTGGGAAAAGCACTACGCAAGGTACGTAATTTTGAAAAATAAGCCATTCACACCAAAAACATTCTGAATTTGGTTGGAAAAACTAAAATTAAAACATACATGATATAGATCGGCCTGAAGACGATGTTCGAAGATAGCATGGATTTCAGGCATTTTTTGAAAATTCCTTTCAAAATGGACAATATACTGCAAAAGACTTTCATAGAAGTTAATGAGGAAGGCTCACAGGAAGCTGTTGATGCAACATGTAATTTTTAAATATATCGATGATACAAAACTTCTTCACGCATACCTAAACTCCATAATAGATAATATTATAACTGTCGTAATAATAAAAATATTATTCGTTATAGTTACAAAAATGTGTGGTGGTAAAATTTCAAGCATGGTGGAGCTTCTAGTGGATTGCCCATTCATGTTCGCGATCCCGCGTGGTCGACTAAGTTGTTTTTGTTTTTGGGAAGCGTGCGGAAGATAGAACCTTCTCCACAAAAAGATTAATTATAAGGAAACTTATATTTATGAATTTTTTTATATACTTTACTTATATTTTCACTCTTTATTGTATTTATTTTTTTTTATAATTTATTTTTATTAATTTGTTTATAATTTGATTACGTTTTAGAAGATATTCTAAGAAATTAAGCGGGGTCTACAATGAGAATTTAAGCTTTAAGCCTTAAAAAATTGACCAATCACAGTAGAATGTAAGGAGAATCTACTGTGATCGATCAATCTCTTAAAGCTTAAAGCACCTATTATAGACTGGAACTTAGATGTAAAACAATAATAGAGAATGACGCTTTAACGCTAAATAGCATGCACTCTGAACACATCTTATATATTTCAAATATTTCCCCTTATTTTTTCAACATAAAACATTTGGGAGAAATTCAAATTCGTGACACTTTAAATATATATTCATTTAAATTTTAGCTTTTGAAAAAGGTTCGATATTTTTAAGTTGGAAAATTTAAAAACGATGATACAATAATTTTAACATGTTCGTTATAATTAGTTTTTATTTTTTTTTATACGAGTTATTTCAGATATAAATTGCCCCCTTTTATCTCTTTCTAAAATATTTGCCATTCTATTCCGATGTTATTATTATGTGCTGCTCAGTTAACTTCAAGGAAATATCGCAGGATATTGTCGGAAAGTGTTACGGTAGGTGCGAATCAAAATTGTTAAAAAAAAATTAATGCAAACGAAACACCGTAATTGTCGTGGAACTCATTTAAAACGCATGACGAAACGTGGTTTTTTTATGTGATTTATTAATTTGACAGATAGTCGTTGTTTTGTTTGTCAGCTGGCGCGAGTCCAAACCTACTTTGATGCTGTGTTTCCTAACCTAAATCTCAAATTATCACCGAATTACGACAGAAAAAATGAATTCAACCTAACTTATTAAGTTGTTAAATTGTGAATTTGAAATGATTACGTGATATATCACAGTTCTGATTTTCTAGTTTTCTTCCTCTTTGAAACATTTTAATTGATTGTTAACATTGGCGGTAACCTGACGTACTTTTTCATTTAGGAAAAATGTAAATGTAACTTTGTGAAGAACTGTCAGTGTATATATTGAGTTTTTAACTCATTGTTAAGTTTGTCAAAATATATTTTGCTTGCAACCCAAGCTAAAGACAAAGTAACAGTGGTCGCGATGCTTATACAAGGTGATGGTGCATCAATATATTGTACAATTCTGCTACTTATAATATGTTCCTATCATACAAAAGTATTTTCGACAAATGGTTATAAATAATTATGCTAGTGTCGCTTTATAATAAAATGCTTTGCGATCATATTTCTATATTTGTCCTATATTTATTCTATATTCTATATTTATAGCTTTACTCAATGTCATTTAAATGTTTTTTTCAGTATTTGTATATATTATAAATAATTTGTAACTTAAATTATTAATTCTCAATATTATAGGCTAATATATCTCTTTTGCAGTATTATTTGTGATCTTTAGCAGTACGTTGGCAATGTCTATACAAGCCGCAGATATGTCATTGAGTCAAGATCAAGATTCTTTAAAAAATGTGTTTGCTGCATGTAGCAGTTTTACAAACATACTGTACAAGGTGTGTAATCGATATTTTGGTTCCCAAATTTTGACATTTTCTATTTTGTAACGTATGCTTTGTTACAGAATTTATCAACAATCATTAATGATAATGTTGTAACTTCTCCATTAAGCTTACACATGATATTATCTCTACTTGTCAATGGAGCTGATGGAACTACATTGGATGAACTAAAGTCTGTTCTTCATCATAATGACTCATCTTCTTTGAACAACGAATTTAAGGCCTTAATTCCTCTGTTAAATGTAAGATCAAAAGTAAAACTTGTTACTTGTAATTTTTGAAGAAACGCAAATATCTGTATATCTGTGTATTTTAGAATATTGGAAATCTTGAGCTACACATAGCAAACTCAGCGTATATCCAAGATAATTTCGAATTAATGGCTGACTTTTTGTCAGTATGCACGAATGTCTTTCAATCTTCAATTTCAAGAGTAAATTTCAAAGATGCTGTCCATGCTGTAGAAATTATCAATTCTTGGGTCAAGGAAGCAACAAATGAAAAGATACCGGATATAATTTCTGCAGGTACAATTTTTGTCCAATTAGCAATTTGTTAATTGCAGCTTCATAAATATTTTGGGAATAATTGTATACCTTGAACAGGTGATATTGACGAGGATACGAAAGTCATCTTGTTAAATGCTATTTACTTCAAGAGTAAATGGCAGAAGCCATTTGATCCGACGTTGACGCAAAATCGCAAATTTCACATTTCCAAAACGGAAGCAAATCTTGTCCCAATGATGTTCAAGAAGTCAAAATATGTCAATGGTAAAATACCGGCTTGGCACTCGAAATTTATCGAAATCCCTTATTTGGTAAATAATAATCATAGTTGAGGGACTGCTGAAAATAGAATTTTATGTTAATAACTATTGATTTTACAGAATCAAGATGTCGTAATGATAATATTGTTACCGGATGAAGACGTGGAGCTACAAACCTTGGAGGACAATTTTGATTGGAAGACATTGGCGAAAGAACCGACCTCTATTGAGAATATCGAATTGTATCTACCGAAATTTAAATTCGAGATTACTTTGAAACTAAAAGAAACTCTACGTAAAGTATGCAATTGGAAAGATAAATCAATGACACAAACAAATTATGAATTTGGCTGGGGAAATTAAAATGGGAGTATGCATTACATAGATCGGGCTGAAGACGATGTTTGAAGATATCGCGGATTTCAGGCGACTTTCAAAAATTCCTTTGAAAGTAGGCAAGGTGCTACAGAAAGTTTTCATAGAAGTCAATGAGGAAGGCTCAGAGGCTGCTGCTGCATCAGGTAATTTTTAAATGTATGAGTGATACAAAACTGTTGGATAATATTATAACTGTTATTATAATAAAACATTATTTCTTACAGATGTGATGGTAAGAATGAGAAGGATGACAATTTTAGAGGAGAAGTTTGTAGTGGATCGTCCATTTATGTTCATGATCCAGCATAAGCCAAGCAAGATACCTTTGTTTCTGGGAAGTGTGCGCAAGATAAAATCTTCACTAGAAAAAGATGAACTATAAGATTACTTTTCTATTTTCTCACATTTTATATAAGATATTTAAAAAATAATAAATGTTAATTATTTGCAATCGACTTGTTTAGTTTTGAACTTATGTTGAGAATCATACTATATAAAGGTGAAAAGATCTTTGATCTTAATATACATAAAAATTAAATATATAACACAATACATAATACACAAATACATAATAGAAATTATATACATTAAGAGCCATTTTCTGATATTTTGATAAAATAATTTCTTAATGTAAAAGTTGATTAAAAAGTGATGATGGAAATTAAACATTCTCTATTTCTCATTTGTTTGTATATACTTCAGCGATAAACATCAGCAACTTTAACTAATTTAATATGCTCGGCAACTAAAGGTTTCTAATTTTTTAATGCTATCCGAAATTAATTATTATTATTGCCAAAGTTGCTGTCTTTTGAAATTTTTGTTTATTTTCAGAATGGAATAAAAAGATGTCCGATTCATTGTTGAGTAGTACTCCTTAGAAAGCAAAGATACTCTCTTCTGATCTGATCATTGTTTAGTCATATCATGATTACAAATTTTCATTAAGGAAAGTGAAGCCTCGTAGCGGAAAGTTCAGAACTAAAGCCCGTGGCGAATGCTATGTTTTTGCCTATTTAATTCTTGCTGGATGAAAATGAGCCAATCAGAATTCTAGTATGTCACTAGATCTCACTAAATCCAGCACGAAACAACCATCGTGTGCTCATTTGCTCTAATAAAAGAGCATACAATTAGATCCGTTATTTTTATGGACAAATAAAGGATCTAAGGAATTATTAAGTGTGTTATTTCTGCTTAAAATGTTGAATATCTATTTCTATTTTCTTGTACTCGAGAAAAGGTAATCGTTAATTTTTATGAATTGCTAAAATTCATGGTTAAATAAGATCCCATGCGAGTATACCCATTATTTTTGTATTCTAGTGGTCTCCGTTACTTGTCGTTATTTTTGATGAAGAAACCATACTATCTCACAATTTGTCATTCTTATCTCGAAATTCAACGGATAACGGACTACGTCGATAGATATGCAGGTAATAGACAGTTCGAATGACGTTTTAAGCTTAAAGTTTCTTCCCGGACAGCATAGATGTTTAGAATATGTCTTGGAGATATCCTGAAGTCATATAAAACAAGTAAGATATTTTTTGGGACGCCTCTAGGATGCTTTTTGGATATTTATATTGCATATGTTGATTCTAAATTGTTATTTCCATAACGTTGTAATTCATCCAAGTAATATAAAGAATAGGATGAAAAGAATTAGTCTCTCAATTAATCTTTTGATTGCTAGCTGATTATCTTGATTGATTGTGTCTGGAGCGAGAAATATATATTAAAAATTCTTGCAAAGTACGTTGAAATGAAAAGATACGCCAACAAAATGTCTCTTACAATTGATCAGGTAAATTTGTAAAATATTCCGAACTTTCCTTTTGCTCTGATAATCAGTATATACCTATAAAGTTAGCGTGACAAAATTATGTAGTTAAAAAATAATCCGCACGTTACATTAATCTTATGGTTATTTATCGATTATTAAAGCAACGGGAAGTTCTGTAGAATATTTCACATAAATATCATTTTGCATGCGTATCTTTCTCATTTCGACATATCTTACGGAAATTTTGAACTTCTATATTTAACTTATATATTTGAACATATATATTTAACTTATATATTTAACTTATATATTTAACTTATATTTTAACTTATATATTTAACTATATTTTCTAACTTCGAGATTAGAAAACAAAATGGCTGCGAAAAGGGGAAAAAAGAATCGTGGAACGATCAATCTTCGTCCATCTCTGTGTTGCGTTTCTGCTAAAGATGGTGGGCGCCAAGCGAGGATATTGTTGCGTGATAAACACACATCGAGGTCGTTCGTGGTATCGTAATTGAATGTCACTGGAAGATTTCTGCGGTTTAATGTTCCTCGACCCGCTCGAAATTTCTCTCGTACATTCGTACGGATAAGCATCTCGAGCCGATTTGTTTGTGGCTCGTTCGATTCGTCGTCGATACATAACCTTTTAATGTGCGCGTTTAGATCCTCCGTTCCTCGCGGTACACGTACGTTTTAGCGGAAAATAATCGCACCACGAATATCATGGCGGACTCGTTGCACAAGGATGGGTACGAAGCATGTGAGTTTCTTCTTTTTTCTTTTAACGAAAAAGATACAAAAAGGATACTCTTCTTGGCGCCTTATCGCGTAGTTGTCTGAAGTCTGTTTACTTCGGTCGCATCGTCTTCGTGCCTAACTTAAGGTTGACTCAAAACAAACCTCTAAAGTTCAAATGTTTCTCTTTCACAACAATCAAGTTTTCCATTCGACTTGAAAACCACTTTTCGCTTTCCGATTGCGCTCGATATATGTATGTGTGATAGGTTATGTATATATATATATCGTGTATTTACTTCGAATTCACCGTGCACGTGTTGTTTCATAAAAACAGCCAGCTTGACAATGCACACTAGCAGTAGCATAAACTCGGACAGCGACATGAAATTGGAGCCGTCCAGTCCTACGGAAAAGTACACCTTCTCTCGTTGCGGTAGTACAGGCTCGGTCAACACACCGTCTTCCTCCGCTCATAATACAGGTAAGGGCAGGTTTTGTGCATCGATAATCCGAACGATAACCGCGACGTGTGATGTTCAGAGGATGAGGATAGCGATAATAAAAACTCAACCATAAGCTACAAGGAGCGCAGGAGGGAGGCTCACACTCAGGCCGAGCAAAAAAGACGGGATGCTATCAAGAAAGGCTACGACTCCCTGCAGGATTTGGTCCCGACTTGCCAGCACACCGATTCCTCAGGCTACAAGATCTCCAAGGCCACTGTACTTCAGAAGTCCATCGATTACATACAGTTTCTGTTGCAACAGAAGAAGAGGCAGGAGGAGGAGCGGAAGGCCCTCAGGAAAGACGTTGTGGGACTAGGCATCATGTTGGCAAACTACGAGCAGATCGTCAAGGCTCATCAGACGCAGCCAAGTCATGCGGAAATGCGGGTCTCGGACGAGATGAAGTTTCAAGTGGTGATTATATCTAATACTTGTTCTTCTCTTCTCAGTGTTGTCGCGGTCAGCCAACTTGTAATGCGTGCTGTATTGCAGTTTCAGGCAATAATGGATCGCCTCTTCCAATCGTTCAACGACATTTCCGTAGGCAATTTTGGGGAATTATCCGCTTATGTATTCAGTTGGTTGGAGGAGCACTGTAAACCGCAGGTAAACATTTTTCTCATTTCTTCTCAGTCCTTTCTTTTCCATTTCTTTTTTCTCTTTTAAATATTTCTCTGATTCAATATGTACAAAGGGTAATATTCTCCGCCTTATATAGCAGTATTTTCTAACTTCACATCTAATAACTTTCAACATTAAGAAATATTTGAAAATAATGTTAAAGTCTCAAGTTAAATTTGAAACTAAAATAAATAACTAAACAAAATGAAAAACATTACCCTTTATTTTTGGGCTCTTAAAGACTGATTTATCAGAATTTCTCAAGTGTCGAGCAACGGAGATTTTTTTTTACCGAGTTTTATTTATAAGTATAGCAAATAATCATTTCCAAATTTAACGACAAACGTTGTACTACTATATAAATTAATTTTTATATACACTTTATAAAGTATTATTTCCAATGCATGCTGGTAAACGTAATTGTGACTGTTTCTTTAGACTTTGCGTGATGTAGTAGTTTCCGTGCTGGGACAGCTTAACACCAGTCAGATCAGCTAGTCGACTGTGAAGGAGATACACGTCGCACAATGTTCCCCAAAAGGGTTTTATTAAATCCATATACTCATAAAGATTATATGGCGTGTTCCATATTTAAAGAAGCGATGCCAAGATTATGAAACGGAGCAGTTCTTTTCTGTCTTTTTCCTATCTAACTAGTAGCACTTTATAAATAATTGATTAATAGCACAATTTTGAAGTGGGGGGAGGAAGATTTATCCGAGGTAAAGTCCACGAGTAAGTAAACTCGGAAAGCTCGAAATGAGAGACGTCGGTGATTCTCATGCTGTATTTCCCGTGGTTTAAGTGGAAATGTAAACTTGAACGAGATCTTATCGGGATCATCGGGACGTCGTATCGAACACATGTGATAGTTGCTTTATCGTAATATTGGCATCGTGTATTGTTCGTTACGCGAGCATCGCTTGCGTGTTTTGTAATATTTGATATACATACAGAATATACACCACCGTGTTTTTTTTGGCTCGCAAAATTCTTCGGTCTCTTATCGCATTGCAGTCGGATTTTCTTTGGCGGAATTCTGATTGACTGCCGCCAGTCGCCAATGACGCAATCTTGCATCATTGAATTACAAATATCTCTGTAACACTTCTCGTGTATTTAGATACCGTTCGAGTCAGTTCCCCCCGTGGAATCGCACGAGGAAGAAGGTTTGCCATGTCCATTCGCACTCCTTGCAACTCGCAACAATTCCGAAACTTTCAGACTCATTGTGAAAGTATCATATTCTCGGCGGTGGTGGTCGAGATCCTCTGTACACGATCGGACCTTTATCTTTATGATCGGATCGATGGACATTTAGACCAATCTTACGCGAAGTTACCAGAGAAGAGAGACAGACACGCATGTCGCGTGCGTTACGGGTATGTAATGACTGCATGGGAAATACACAAATGAAAGTTTATTTTATATACAGCTGCGAGTGAGAGAGAGAGATAGAAAGAAAGGAAGAAAGAGAGAGATTAAATATATTGGTATACTGCCAACGGCGTAGGGATCTCTTCGGGTCGCCGTCGGTGACACCGATACCGATGTTGAATATTTTTGTCAGATCTTTTATTGCGCATACGTCGCGGCGAACAAATAACGGCGTACAGTATATATGTATATGTGTAGAGAGATCTATCTTATTATGTACATAACAGGTTTATATAACATATATTTACAATGAACGAATGTGTACGACCAACCTCTGCGTGTATCTTCAATGTAATATCCCGTGTTACGATCAATATCCTTTTTATGTAATGTCCATTTGAAACATCCGGCTCTCTTCTTCTCCTAAACATCCTCTTCATTGTCTACTTTCTACAGTTTCAGTTTATTCTACACTATAAAATGTAGGGTAGTTGCTTTTACGGTCGCATTATCGCAAGGAAAGAGGGGAGAGAGAGGGGGGGGGCTCTGTTTAAACCTTCTCAGATTCCGTCGGCATACTCTCTCCTTGCGTAATATCGTTCAACGGTATCGCGCCTGATCTGTCTCTAGTGGGATTGTCGCATTCCCGTTGTTGATTCTGTCGGTGCCGTCTTTTGAATCTGTTCTCCGGACGACAACACAAATCCCGGAATATGCACACGTAGCAGGTTAACAGCGCAGTCATCATCATCAAGCCGCCGATCGCGAGAATGACAACCAGCATGATGGAGAACAGGTCATCCATCTTATCACGCTGCTTCTCGCACTGAGCGGGTACTGAAAAAAGAATCGGTCTGCTTAAGAAATATCGTCTGGAAATTTGCGAAACATTTTGCAGGATCTATCGAGGGTCGAGTCACGCGGAGAACAGTGATAATGAAATATATGCGTTTCAATCTCATCGTGAGATTGATTGTATAATTATTTAATAATTATTTATTATTATAATTATTATTACGAATTTTTTTTTCGTTTATTTCATCTGTCGAATGGGACATATTAAAAAATCTATGGATTTGACCGTAAAAATAACATTTGTCATTGTTTTAACAGATAATCGGCTTTTTATAAATAATTGATTAGGTTCGGCAGTATGCAGTGTTTCCTCGATACACGTCCTTTCCAGATAACGAGATAATTTGTTAAAACACAAGATTTATATATGCCTCTAGATTAAAGGATATTTAATTCTTTAGAATGATATTCACATATTTATTTCAATTATTTAACACGGTGTTTCTTTCTTTTTTTTTTTAGCATTTTCCCGACTCCATTCCTAACGACTGCACAAGTAATTCCTTGAGTTTCCTCGGCGTCTAGGATCCTTAGTTTAAAATAAGAGGACGGATAAAAGAGCGAGGTCAGTGGGTTCGATCCGAATGTGTTATTTTTATCATTATAGAGAAAATATTCTCATCCTATTACGTCTCGCGGTATCTTGCGTTAAACCAGGCGGGCAATGCTGGCTTTTAGGGGTCCACCTTACGAATATTATCGGATAATCCGATTTATTCGCTACGGATCACGTATCTGAAAGTTCACTCGCGGCGATAATTGAAATGTTGAGTGCGAATAGACGGAGTGCGCGGCACAGAGAAAGAAGGGTCATATGAAATTTATATTTAATGGGATTACTGTTTTCACGAAAAATCGTGTCACGCGTGCGTGGGATGCGACGGGATAAATTTAATTTTAAAAAGCGACCGACCGGAAAATTCATAGCAATCTGCTTTTATTCAATACAGCTGTAGTACGAATCGAGGCGATTATTTATCGGAACGCTATTGGAGCTCAGTAATTAATTCTTATTGATCTCGTCGACATTTCCACCGACATTTTTTCCTTCGTTATTAATTTTAAATGGAGAATTTTTTGCGCAAAACAATGTTACTCAGCTTTTCCATCAATATATAAATAAAAGAGCGCAGCGTTTCGTTTGAAAAAGCAATTTGAAAATAACGTGAAATTTTGCCGTGGATTTTTTCGCAATTTTCAACATGTTGAGTTTCTCTATAACGACGCGTCGCAAAAGAAAAACATAACGATGTTTTGTTCTTCCACATTTTCCAGATATTTTTTCTTCTTTTTCCATGCAGAATCATCCGTTCCTCTTCCTCGTCCTCATCGCGGGATACCCTATGTGCGGTTTGATTTCCGCACACATCAAACCGTCGATCGATTGATCGCGAAGTTCATACGTCTTTTGGTAGCACGTCGCGGAAGTGAACACGAGCGAGAAATGAGATGGCCGACGACGAAAATCGAGCAAAAGGGACGACAGTAATTCCATAGCTCACCTTCGATCGCTCCGCATCTTCCTTTTTTTTTATGCAAACGTGATGTCTCGTAAGACGCGAGATATCTTCGCTTGATCGAGCGATTATCTGCATCTCTACTCGCAGAGGCTTTCAATTCTTCGCCTCGCCGCTGCCTCCCTTGTCGATGCTAGCGTAAACGCTGGCGAAATATCGGCGCGCCAAAATGGGAAATGAGGTAAGCGACGAAACAATATTTTAATTCAAACGAATGCCGGAGAGTCACTAATTTAGTTTTGCTACGTTCTTACTGAAGCGAGATACTTCGTCCCATCGGGAAGAATTTCAAAGAGATGCACTCTTGTTCCTGCATAATGAGAAAGCTCAAAGTATTTTCTTAGAGTATACCTTTCAACGATATCGTTATAAGTTATAACGCAACATATCGCAAATTTACATGGAGAAAAATTAATTTTAAATTAAGATAATAGATATTCTTATATATAAGCAAGAATATTATAATCCTTTTAGAAGATCTTTGATCCCGATTTGATTGAATTTGTATTGATGCAAGTATTACTTGAACTCAACTCTTAAGACTAAAAATCTTCTAAGAAGATTATAATATTGCTGTTTATATATGAGAATAGCTGTTCTTAATTTAAGGCTCCTGGATATTCGCTATGGCTGTCTCTCTTTAATTACGATTTATTTCTCAACATAGTCTCCTTTTAGCTCGATACACTTGACCCAGCGATGCTCCAACTTCTTTAACCCATCTGAAAAATACATTTTCTCGAAGTCTGCAAAGTAAGCCTCCGTGGCGGCGATGACCTCCTCATTCGGCCAAATTGGTCGAATTGGACTACGAACTGCTGCCCCATCCACCGTATTCTCCAGATTTGGCCCCGTGCGACTTTTTTTTGTTTCCAAACTTGAAAAAGTCACTCGCCGGGCAGAAATTTGAGTCGAATGAGGAGGTCATCGCCGCCACGGAGTACTTTGCAGACTTCGAGAAAACGTATTTTTCAGATGGGTTAAAGAAGTTGGAGCATCGCTGGGTCAAGTGTATCGAGCTAAAAGGAGACTATGTTGAGAAATAAATCGCCACTTTTCCAAAATTTTCGTTTTTCTTTTGTAGGCTAAGTACTTATCGGACCGCCCTCGTAAATTGGCATGATTTTCCGCGCTTCTGACGTCATCCAAGGACAGAGCTATAGAGCGAATTCCAGGAGCCTTAAGACTAATTTTTCTATGTAACAAGCTGTTTCGACTTATGATTTGTGACAAATTCGTCTCACTACATATGCTGAATTATTACATAAATTGGATTTATTATCTGATTTCCCTATAAAATAAAAATCTTAATTAACTCTTTCTTATTTGATACGAAAAAAAATGGTTCTCGGCACGGTCTCGGAGTCTGCCGAATTAGGCGAGGCAACCTTTTTTTATCTCGTCCCTTTCGCGCGGGGATCGTTTCGAGCGGCGGGACGGCGGATATTAATTTACGCAATTTTCTCGATCGACTCGATAGAGCCGACTATCAGAAAATTTATTCCGCGGGTTTTTATCACGTCGTAGTTAACGAGAAGCGTTTCGCAAATCGGGAGATAGAACATTGTACCTGACAGTCGACTACTACTACTTGTCCGTCGAGAGGTGGTTGCATACAAAAGGCGGATTTCCGCATGCCGGTCGATCTCGCGCGTGTTCCCGAGTGTTATTGGTTTTATTCGCCGAGCCACCGTCCATCGCTTCGGTGTCGAACAAATAGAGAATTGTGACAATCTGTCGTTACGTCGATAACGCGCGCGCGCTTCCTGACGCTTTACACGACTTCCGAATTAATTCAGCGTTGCGTATCAAACATCGGCTTCTCACCCCTGCGACGTCGTTCGTGCGAAAATTAACGAAGATGAGTCATGCGAGACGAGCGGAAAATAACGAAACGCGTCCGCGTGTCCTCGACAAGCGCGCCTTTTTATAATTGACCCGGTAACCTTTGGTAAGAACGGGGAAATACTTAAGCCACATTAATGGCCTATATTCCACTTTCTCGGATAAGATTTATTATAAATTAAATAATGCGTTATATTGATCGCAAGTAAAGTGAAACTTCGCGTACGAAGTAACAAATAATCTTTTGCCGGATCTACACTTTGAACGATTGCACGCTTTTATCTTCTCCTCCTCGGGGAAACCTTATTTCGTTTCCAAAGGAACTTTTGAAACTTTTAATCATTGGTTATTCTTACAAAATAAATTATTAGCGGTATACGCAATTTTTATCAAAGTTGCGCGCTTATTAAGTATTTTGCGCTGTTCAGAGAATCGGTTGAAACAAACGCTGTGATATTTTATCAATTTCTTTACATAATTTTATTGCATTAATTTATTTATGCAGTAATTAATGTTCTACAAGTGATTTTTTCTATAAGTGGAATGTGACTTTTTCTACATTTCTCAATAATAAAGGCTTTAATCGTTTTAGCGTTATTCCGGGATTTTCCGGAATATGAACACGATTGTACGGTCTAATGAAAATTCTATGCACGTTGACATATCGATCGATTATCTGTATTACAATTGCGATATCTTCAAACGGTTATAAATTAACTGCTGCTCTACAAAAACACACACGTAGAGCCGCCGGCGGACCAGTAAAAGCCTTTTCCTATTCCCGGTAGGAATGTTTTCAGAGGCGTGGAGGATCAACATCCTCATTGCGTCGTGACACGCGGCATTCTCTACGTAGGGTACGTTTACGAGGGCTTCCGAACCATCATCCCTCTCGTATGAATCCTTCATCTCCCTCGCTGGAGCCGCTGAACTCGCCAGTAAATATCGACTTATTCCGAAGACAATAAAAACGATCTCAAACAGCACGTGGGCCACTCGTCCTCCTCTTCCGTTCGCGGCCAAGAATCGCATTGCATCCCCTTCGGCAATAATTTATATACGTGAAAGTACTGATTTCGCCCGAATTGAAAACAATATCTTATCGAAATAAGTATTTTACGAGGTTCATCACCGACCGGAGGAGCTCTTCATGCGCGATAAGAACACACACGCGCACATGTATACACGTACACGCGTATCTGATGCATAATGAATGAAACGAAACACGAATGTGTGTAGCAGAGAAGGAGAAAAGAGAGAGAGAGAGAGAGAGAGTCGAGCAGCACGAAGGAAAGTAATGGACGTAGTCTGGCGCGAAGGGAAACTATGTGAATAGGAATTACACCGATCGCAGTCGCGACGAGACACGCGACGATAAAAAAAAATACAACGATCGTCCGCGAGATTACGCGTGCAATCTGTATATATATGTGTCGCTCTTGACACGTAGTCGCGTATCGATAATAATAAATCAACAAAAAAGAACGAGGAATATAACGGCACATTTCCCGAAGAGAAGAGATAAAAAGTGTGGAATGCTTCGCGATTTTGCGCGTGTCATCCTTGCGCAGGGCTCGTGCTGATTCCAGACAGCCCAACGTCTGATATCAGACCATAAGACGTTTCTGAGACTCTGGGGTTTTATGGAAAGGCGTCTTCAAGTCTCTCTGGGATCTTGTAGAAAGAAGAATGGTAGCCAGTAAGAGCCTGTGCATGAAGCTGTAGTGTAATAATAAGAAATATTTATAGCGTAATAATAAGAATTAATCTTTGAAGCATTAAGATGTGGAAGATATTCCGAAATAATCAGATAACTTTTATTACGCCCAGAAATATTGATCTTAGATTGGATCCTTCTCAATAGTAAACGATATAAATAAAGTAAGGGAGCTCTGTAGATATTACAAGCATTAAAATAGACTGTAGATATTATTACCATTGAAAGAAAGAAGTCAGCTAAATCGGCAGTAAACACAAACGTTCGGTGGATTACAATAACAAAGAAAGAGCAAGTCAATGACACGACCCCGCCGCGGTATAAATATGATAATAAGGAGGACCGAGAGTCATTGCGTATAAAAAATACACAATTGTCTTACGCGCAATTGTATATTTTTTATATACACAATGACTCTCAGTACTCCCTATTATCATATTTATGCCGCGGCGTGTCACGGTCGTTAACTTGCCATCTCTTTGTCATTGTGATCTATTGAACGTCGGTTTACTGCCGTTTTGATGTCTTTATTTTAATGTTACATTCATCCACAGATATACATATATCATATCTACAGTCTTTATTTTAACGTTTGCAATATTTACGTAGATTTCTTATTCATTCATTTCATGCCAACCTTCTCTGTATCGTTTACATTTTAACATACGTACCGTCGAAGTAAATACGGTGGTGCCGTGTTCAACGAAATTTTTCGTATATTAAGCACGAGTGTGCCATCGGATGAGTTCACTCAGACGGTACGCCAACTGGCGGTGAACACGTGGCCGACACAGTAGTACGAACGTAAAATTAGGTTTACACTTGACGTTCGCTAGACGTTCCGACTCTCTCTTCATTTCTTTTATTCTCTCTTTTTTTTACGATTCGGCTTCGCCTTCTCTACCTCCGCTGCTATTCGCTTCATAGCGTTGTTTTGTCACCTTCTTTTATTATTACTTCGTCTTTTATTATTACCTCGTCGATACTCCCCAGTGGTGTTCGCGAGAGAAAATTTCCAGCGTTTACGTTCACTATGTCGATACGATCGTCGCGACTCTCGCAAGATGAACGGATATATATCGTACGATGAATATCAGATGTGAACCTATCAATAGACATCCCCGGGATATTTTTCGCGATTTTACCTTGTACACACGGATATATACACGAGCATTCCCGTTGGCGCCCCGTACTCCTATTTCTTTCAGTTTCGCGTTATATTTAGCCAAGCACGGAGATTAATGATATTAGAGGAAGCTGTGACACAGGACGCGTTACTCCGTTCAGTAATAGCTTCACTTAGCATCCGGGCGATGCAACCACTCGGCTGCTAGAGCCACTTTTAATGCTTTCGGCATTTAAAATGAGGCATGCCCGAGATAAGAGCAAACTACTTTAAGCGCTTATTTACTTTTTAGAGAATAACGATGTCACGTTAATGCAGATGTATGTAAGCACGGATAAAAATTACGTCTGTACTTAGCGGTACGCGAGTGCTAGACATGATCTGGGTCATAAATAGGCCGTATATTTTTATGCGTTTCTTCCCCAGGAAGCATGTCCCTACCCTACCCGGACTATCCTACATCTGTACTTATATTTATATTTACAATTATAAATGAGGTTATCGGCCGGCACGAACTATTTTCCTCTCACCTGCACTATAATGATATCGGAAGGCTTCCGTTCTTCCTCATCCCCTTTTCAGCACGGTTCGTGGACGCAGAATGTCTGATTCGCGCGCATCATCGAGCCTCGCCTTGTTCTCGTTCACCCCGGCAAATTGAATGCCGTCGTTCTTTTGTTCCTCGGCATCTCAAAGCGCCTCCGCGCCGCGCTATGATCCCGCATCGGTCCGCGTAAACGCGCGGTAATTTATTCCATTTTAATACCGCTTTCAGGAGCCGGCCTGACGACGAATAATCCGCATCGGGATGGCCCGTTCACGGGGCAGATTCATCACGCGCACAGACCTGGGAGAACGCGGAACTCGGTGTGGTCATCCGAAATATCGCAAATGCCGGAGGTCACTTAATGTACATTAACGTCCCGTTTCTTGCGGCGGCGGTCAATCGCGGTGATTTCGGTCGGTCGATTCTCTCCTTGAACCCGCCGTCTTTCTCTTCCTAACCGTTGCACGTAGGATCGCAAGATGAAAATGCGGGACGATTTGAAGAAAGAAAAGAAAATGTCGAAACTTCAGTGTATCAGGCCGTGGTAACGGTAAATGAGTCCTATTAATTATCCCGTCGGTGGCGTCGTAATTACGCGCCCATTGTGTCGTTGATGGATCACTGCGGACGAGCGAAGTTGCACTAATTGTTACTTAATGATGTGTGCGGAGAGGCTCGCATTATCTCGTTGCTCACAACGCGGGAGTCGCGTGCAAACTGTGACAGAGAGCGGTCCATCGTGGCATCGCGCATCCTCACGAAGTACGGCTCTCTCCTCCTACCCTCCTCCTCCGCCTATCCTCGTCCTCCACCCTCGTTCCTATGTAATGTGTAGGGATCTTTGGTAAAGGAGTCCTTTTTCGCGATACGAGGAATGTTTAGAGCGTTTTTCCGGCTCCGGCGCTACGCTCGATATAAATCAGTCGATTCGCGCGCGATTGCTTTCTCGTTGCGAATGTTTCCCGCGAGGAAATACGCAACTTCTTGTCTTCCTCCACCCCTTTTTCCCGACGCCATCTCAGCCAGTTTCTTTTAAAAGCAAACCCGCGTTAATGTTTCTTAAGACAGAAAGTAGCCAATTCGACCGAAAGTATCTTTTTACTTATACTTACACTTATATTATATTTGTATTATTTATATTTATTTTTATTCATATTGCAACATTCTTCTTATCTAAAATGTGATAAATTGCGCGTGGAAAGGTAACTTTTAAGTCCCGTGATTTGGGTTTTTTGTGATAGAGGACGGTGGTAGATATATTAAAAAAAAAAGAAAAGACGTATAGCTTGACGAAAAAGAACGAATCCTTGTGGAAAAGAATCTAATTGCACAAACGCAAGATTGTCGGCGTGATCAATTTATTTGTCGTCGCTTCGGGCTTCCTCGTCCGAGCTTTTTCCATTAGCTTCCGCCGTGTCGAAGTTGCCGAAACTTTCGGATTAGTTTTCTCCGCGACGCGCGGTTAACACTGTTGCTCGCTCCACTCCGCATGCAATCGGAGCGATTTTTTTTCTCCTTCCCTTTTTCTTTTCTTTTTTAATCCTTTGGAGTTTCCTCGCGCGCGGGATATCGTTTGTCACTCGCTCGACGAGGCGTGCCTCTCCTTCCTCTTCCTCGCAATTTCCAGCGGCGCTGGGTCTCCGCGCGACGAAAGCGAGTTTCTCTCTCTCTCTCTCTCTCTCTTGGGTGAAATTCCCAGTTAAGTGTCCCCCGAAAGTAGCAGGATCGAGATTAGGATTTGGTGGCTGAGACTCAAGACGAGCGGAAAGAAGGAGGGGGAGGGATGACAAAACGGCCGGCGATCCCTGAATAACGACTCGCAGACTCCCGCGTCGGAGATATGTAAGGAAAATGAGAAAGGCGTCGTATAATTCGGGAGATCGCAATTCAGGGGACAGATAAAAGGGAGATATTTTAAGGTCGCGATTCAGAACGCGCCGAACAGAGTCGGAAACGCGGAATTGAGACGCGCGAAGATCGCGCCGACGAATGTCCGGCCGTAATCGTCTCGATCTACTTCGAATCCTCTTCGGCGGCGCTCTTTTTCTCTCTCTCTCTCTCTCTCACTCCTGCTCTTCCGTATCGCGTATTAAAACACCACGATGGATTTCGACGGTGAGTGGGGTGTAGCTAAGGATACGGCGGTATTAGGCAAGCGAAATGGAATAGCGTATCGCGAACAAGCCGCCAATTGCCGAACAAGCGCGCCCATTAGAGCGCTAGTCCATGCGAGCAATCGTAACAACCGCGGGCGCACAACGCGGGCTCACATAATACACTTCATCAGTTTGTGTCACGCAGCAAGCGTGTAAATTGCGCCGCCATACGTCGCATTGTCGGCCGCAAATTATTAACGAGAGCCGTGACGGAACGTGCGCCGAATTCCGATGGCGGCCGTTTCGCTGCCGTTTCGCTGGAATCGCGCGGATATAACGCTTGCGTGCGTCCCACGCGAGTGGAAGAAATGTCTTCTTCTTCTTCGGGCTCGCAGGCTCCGTTTATTACGAGGCGCCGAACAAATTCCGGAGCGCAAGCCGCGCAGCGGTTTTCCCCCGTATCGCACGAGCTCGTAGATTGTGCCGTTTCGATTCCGAGAAAACTTTCTCCCCCGATAGCGAGGAGGAGGAGAAGAAGAAGAAGAGAATAATGATGATGAAGAAGTAGATCCACGAGTCCTTAGGCGCTCGACGTCTGAGTGCCGTTCGGAAATCGCGCGCAAATTAAATTAACAACTGCTCGGCGCGCGGGAAATTGCTTTCGCGCATAATGACGCGAGCTGTTAACCGTGTCGTCCTCGTCTTCCTCCTCTTCCTGCTTCTCTCGCCTCCCTCGCTTCCGCTCTTCTCTACGCGAACCAGATGCAGCACGCGCGTGTTCCTATTTTCCTTTCGCGCAGCAATATCTCAAGGTAAATCAAGCGACTCCTCGAGGAACGCTCGGTCGGACGCAGGTCTGATTTGAGTAGCAGCGTTATTTCCTCGATTGCGATAAAAATCCCCTCTCGTCGATGCGCACAGATGAAATTGTACTGAAAAGCTGAAAGATGGCGGGTTCCGGTGACGTCTCTTATTTCCTAGAATGAAGCCTGTGTCGACGCACGCTGCAGCGTTCCTTCGTTGTTCGCCGAGAGTGTGTCGAGGATTAAGAGATTAATTAGGTGCACATCACAAGGTGCACTCAGAGTATCCTTTAGGACGGACTGAGAGCCTCTTTTAGGATGTTATTGAACTCCATCAGCTCCTTCCTCAGCTTTTGCATGTCCGTTTCCTCCACTTTCCTCTCGCGCTGCCGGAAGTAACGTTGCACCAGTTGTGTCATAATTTCCGCGAACTGATCGTCCTTCTCCACTCGTAGATCCTCCTGCGGGATCAAACGAACTTGGGTTGTTTATTCCGCCTTCATCCTTTCGTTAAAAGTAACAGAAACTTTAAGAGGATTTTCACATCAGGTCGCTTTGTAAGTATAAGACTTTGCTTTGCATATTTCGTTTGTTAATTAAAGCAAGACTCGTTACATCGCAAGATACGAGATAGCTGTATTATTAATTAAGAATCGAACAGAACGCTTTAGCTTTTATCACTTGTTGAAAGCATTCAATTCGTGCGCGTATTTGTGAGACCCGTGAAAGCGTCACGTACGCTTTCATGTTGGTCAGCTCGCGATGGAAACCCGATAATCGACCGTTTAGTTTGACAACAAAAGACGCATTAGATCAATATTGAAGTTCGGCATACTGACGATGTAGCAGCAATTTATGAAGTCCCATCGTGCTCGCTTGCCGGGCGGTGGCTTAAACAGCACTTTGAAGTACTCGATCACCGGCTTTAGACCCGTGAATATCGAAAAGATGCAGAACGGCGGCGGGAGGGTCGTCGTGAGCATGAAATCAACGTAAGCCTGAAGAAAGCCCGACAGAAACAGAAAAGATGCGGTCAGTCGTGTTTTTCATGTCGTTATAATTTCAAATTTCAATTTCCCCGATTCGACGGTGTATTACATCTGCTTTGAAAGGGATACATCATTCACGATTATTGAGGAGATACCGACCTCGGTTCGGCCGAAGATCCACTCCACATTAACGTTGTCGGTCACTCTGGTGAAGGTGTTCGCCATACACGCGATCAGCATGTTCAAAACGACCACTACGGTGATAAATTGGAAGCCTGGAAAATAGAGAGGATAATATTAAAAGTGAGAAAAAGGAGACAGATATAGAAGGAGGGAGTTTCGTCATCTGTCAAATCTTTGACGAATTCATCGCCGATGATAAGAAGGTGCCATCTACCTGCGAAAGCGAGGTAACCGATAAGCTCGGTGAAGCTGTGATGATTGATTATTGTCTCCGATTCTCTTTCACCGGGAAGATTCTCGATCACCACGTCGGCACTTTCCACCGGACTCATGCAGAAAACCGCCCAGAAAAGAGTCTTCAGGGTGGATTTAAAACTCACGAAAGAGCTCTCTTGTTCGACCTTCATCTTTGTCTCGTAGTCGGTCTGCACCATTCCGTCGTAGTACTGATACAGTTTACAGAGTCCTGGAGAAAATTATACGGATTGTTAATGCTGCAAAAATTTGTCGAACCACGAAGAATAAAGATAAAAATATAACAGGATAAAAAATTTTCTCAGATCTCGTAGCTCCGCAAAAAAAGTTTCTCAATTGATTTGTTTACCAGAAAATTACTATCGGATCATATAATTATAATTATAATAAAATTATTATGTCATAATATTATCATTATATAATCATCTTTAAAAATTACTATTATAATTATTATAATTATTGTTAGAATAGTGCAAAAAATATTTTCCTATCTGAACCGTGTAAAATCTTACCAACCGTGTAAGCCATGATGATGATACCGAATATCGCGAGGAAATGACCGACGTCTCTGATCATTTTGAACAGAGACAGTTGCAGCGGTCCCAGATCGTAGTCTAATTGACAGATAAATAATAGCTTGAAAAACGCCATGATCGTCGCGAGACAAAAGATCCCTTCCGCTATCAGTGTCGGATCGTACTTGTACCAATATTTTCTCTCCAAGTCGTGTTGACCGTTTATTCTTACGTCCAACGCGGCGACTATCCAGAAGAGAAACGTCAGCACGAACAGTATGAGCATGATAAGCTCGTACCTGCGTTGCACGTTACACAATGTGAATTACTCGTCGTAAATAACGTACCACAAATTAGAACGTTCTGCCGCAAACTAGGACGATCAATCGCAACAGCAAATTACGATCGTTCGTGCTCTCACCAATTTCTCCGCGTCTTGAAACACCTGACCGGACCGTCTACGATGCAGAGTCGAATGAGCGCAATTATGTACGACACGACGTAAATAGCGAGGAAACATTCGAATCCTGGAGAGACAAGTTGACTTAAATTGAGATCGAATTCTAAGCGGAAGAAGAATGAATGGGACACGCACCGGTATGGGGCGGTCCGCGAAGCTGCTCGGTCTTGTCGCTGTGCGACTGTAGGAACACGAATGTGAGGAATATCAGATAATTTGCCACGGAGGAGAGAAATTTGTTCACTGGGATGTCGTAGAACTTGGCTTGCTTCGAGTTCGGCGCGAATACTACGACGAAAGTTATGAACGGCAGCAAGCCGATTTGCGGGATCACCGACAGACACTTCAGCCACGTGTTGCGGACCTTCCAATCGTGCCAACTGCCGATCCACGTGCTCTCGACCAACTGAAAGAAAAGCGAAAACTCATAACGAGGCGTCTCAGTTTTTGTAAAGGTCGTAATTTTCACGATATTAATTTTGCACAAGAATAACCCCGTATCTGATAAGCGAAAAAATACAAATCCAAAGAGAAAGAAGGAAAGAAAGAGAGAGAGGGAGAGAGAGAGAGAGAGAGAGAGATTTTTTCGAAACTTGAAAAAATATCGAATTATAAATGTGTACATTTTCGAGATAAATTAAATTAGAAACAGATATATAAATGAAACACGCGCAGATCAATTACATTTATACAGTGTTGAATTAAATTTACAATTTAATTTTTTTTATTTAGATCATTATTTATTTTAAATTCTCTCGAGAGTGCGCGTTTATTATTACATCGTTACCTGCTGTACGTTTGGATGAGCTACGAAGGTTTTCTGTTCATAATCCAAAGCTAGTAGGAGTCGCGGATATAGAAAGCTGGAGGCACGACCGAAACCGACGTTTCGTTTCAAAATACACTCGACCTCCTCGACTTTACGGGCGCATCCGATCAAGTCTGTAGCGAATTGAGACACCTCCTTTGTAGCAAAACGGTGAGCTGTTAGCTACTTATTCCTTTTGCCTCTAATATTTTGGCGTGTCGCGGACATCGTGGATATGTAAATTACCAATAATTAACCAGTTATTTTTGTCGCTTCTTAGTTGTCGTTTAATTGAACGGACGATTTCGCGGATGACGATTGTCATACGGTAAATTTCGATAAGCAACAACCGAAGCAACACACAATACTTATAAAATATTTCAAAAATATAAATATGAAATAAAATATAAATATGAAATAAAATATAAATATAAAATATAAATATTAAATATTGTAATATCTATATTTTTAAAATATTTTATAAATACTGTCTGTTGTCTGGGAAAGTCTCACTAACTGAAGACAGTTCTTTGTAGTCGGGATAAAATTCTTTGTCGAACGTGGCTTCCCTGTTAAGCTCGGCAGATAATTCAAAAGCCTTTAAAATTGGATCGGTCTCAGTTTGACAGATATATGCCGGATTCGATACCGCCCTGTACATAAACAGACGCATTCTCTCCATGGTCAGGATATCGCCTTTCTCCCTTTCCGGTCTACGATAACGCAACAAGAAAATGGGCAAATTAATCGACAATAATATCTCAAATTATAACTTAATCATCTATGATTAAATATAGCGCTTTTCTCAACAAACATTCGAGAGCTACGTTTACGAATTTTCGAAATGAATTTTTCTCTCTGACGAAAATTTCTGTTGAAAATAATTCACAATTTTATATCAAATAAACGATCTTTAATTTCTTTTTTTTAAATTATTAAATATATCAGAAGCTCTTGGACATTATTTTGAGAAACATTCTGCGTTTGCCGTGTGCGTCGTCGTACTTGCACAGATCCTCGCAATTGCAGCTAGGCGGATGAGGCTTGTACAGGATGTGACGTCGATATCTGAGCATATCAATCATCTCGAAGTGTCCATATTGCGCTGCGATGGCTAGGGGGATTGTGTCGTCCGGGAAATCGGGACTGTGAGTGACGCCAGCATATTCGAAGCCGGGCGTCAATTCATTCAGCTTGTCCAATATCATCATAGTGATCCGTATTTGATTATCCCTGATCGCGTGCAGATGTGCATCACCCGGGTCGATCTCTGGTTGGGACAAGAGATACTCCACCATCGGTATGTTCCTATCCTTGACGGCGATGTGGAGCGCGGTAACACCCTGAAAATGAAACGCTGAATTAGTACGAAGGACAAGAGGAGTTTACCAAGAGGAGCGTGCATCGTAAAAGAAGTTCGCACGAACGTGAAGTGTTGCAATTGCAAAGTGTTGCACGCAATCGTCTTTCGTCCGCGACTGGAAAATCGAGCCGAGATATTTCAAGGGGCAAGAAACAAGTCCTCAAAGATTACGGTCTTACGTGTTGCTCAATGTTTCTGAGACGAAGTTAAGGCAGCGAAGAAAGTTTTCGCATCGGAGGATCACACAGCTCGCGCGCCTTGCACACGAAAAGAGTCGAGAACTACACAAACTGGGACACGGGGCATTAACACGAGAGACGGTATCTTTAATTAGCGAAGAACGCTAAGGAATGTTTCAGCGAACACCAAGAGAACTCTTGGTCCATCGTGTCATTTTAAATTCATATTTAAATGTTGCGACAGTCGTATTTCTCGAGGGAGAAATACGATGATGTGGACAGTCTTGGATTATGTAACACGAGGTTTCGGCCGCATTTCTGTCATGCTACCGCCTGTGTAGCTCGATTAGCGAAGACAAAACGAGGAGAGACGGCCGCTCGGCCGAAAAGATATCGCGTTTCTCGAGCTGAAAAATTCTTCGACTTTTCCGGAATGCTCTCTTTTCTCGTTGTGAGACGGGTCCGCGGGTTCTCTTCGTCTTCTTCCTTTTCCTCCTCCGCCTCTTCCTTCCCCGTTAAAAGGAGGAGTGAGAAAGCAAGAGCGTGAGAAAGAAAGAGAGAGAGAGAGAGAGAGAGAGAGAAAGAGAGAGAGAGAGAGAGAGAAATCGACTTTTCTGAGCGCTATCGGCTCCCTTTTTTCGGTCGTGTCCCTCTTTATAGGAAGAATGGGACGACGACGTTTGTCGCCCATCTGCGGCGCGTTTACAGAGGCGGCCCTCGACAATGGACCGGCACCATTGTTGCCGTCGGCACTAGTCACAATATTCCGTGATATCCTGGCTTTTCGACCGGACCCCCGGAGCATTCGTGTACATCCACACGCCGCGCACGACAATAACACCTCGTGATATATGTTCGGTAAAAAGCCCTTCTCCCCCTCTCTCTCTCTCTCTGTCTCCCTTCATCTTTCTCTCTCTCTCTCTCTGTCACCCTTCATCTCTCTCTCTCTCTCTCTCTCTCTCTCTTTCTCTCGACGGAATCCCTCGACAATCGGCAGCTGCCACCCTTAACGTCTCGCATGACTCGCCCTGATTTTCTGCCCGACCAGATATCTATTTGTCGTTCGAGGATTTCTCCTTTTTCCCTTTTTTTTTCCTGCGGTGTACACGTTGCGAAATAGCGCGGCGCGAATGCTGACTCGACGCTTTCGCCTGCTAACAGGCGTCAACTCCGACTGGGAAATGTCGAGGCTCGATCTCTCGGTGTAAATTACAACGTCGATATCGGGAATCTGTTATTACGAATTTCTCCGGAATCTATCGAGTGCGCGTCGAGTCTTTCAGAAATTTAATTAGCGACGGGAGAATAACCGGCGGGTTGACGCGAGCGCGTAAGGTGTTTAATGAATGAGCGACGCAAGGATGCGTCATCATCGGCGGCACGGGTCGCATCCGAGAACACGCACGGTAAACCGTGAAAGAGCTCGCGAGTGCATTCCCATATGGAATTTACAGCGGGCCGGGTCATTTGAATAATTTTTATCGGGCCTCGGCTGAAACCATTGTCTTGTAAAAAGACGGCCTGAAATATGGCCGGAGATACACGGAGGCAAGCAGCTTCTTCTTCTTCTTTCTCTATGTCTCTCTCTTCACCCGCTTCCTCCTTTGCTCTTCTTCTCTCTCTTTCTCTCTTTCTTCCTCTCGTTCACTCTCTCTCTCTCTCTCTCTCTCTCGTTTTCTCTTTTTTTCTATCTACTCGTGCGCGCCGCATCGGCATTTCGGTCTCAAAGTCAAACGAGGGTTTGGCTGCTTTTCGGGAACCCCGAAAGAGAAGAGGACACCGCGAGAGAACGGAGAAGAGGACGGTTACGACCACGGGAGAGCCGGCCAAGTGGGTGCAGGAGATGGAAAGAGCGAGACATTCCACGGGGGGTACGTGTTCCAGCACGGGGTGAAGATCTGAGATAACTGGACTTTGCGTCGCCCTCATTCTCTCCGGTTCCTTCTCCCCGCCTCTGCTCGTTTCGTTCCGTCCGTTTCTTACGCGGGATAAATCGTGCCCGAGCTTACTGGGGCACGTTAAAACATTTCTCAATTCATATCGGAGTATTGGCGCTTTACACGTCGGGAATTACGCAACATCGTCCGACAACGAGTCTGCAATCTGGCGTGCAACATCGTTCGATGTTTGAAATTCATAACTTGACGATGAAACATCAAAATTCTGACTGAGGTCGCATCAACATTAAAAATTCGCAAAATATATTCACACACGGAGAAAAGGAATTAGCTGTTTATATGATACACCTGATATTTAGTCACCGGATTTCATTGTTAACCGTGAGAGCTAAAGATTAGACACAGAGACAGAAAAATGTTCGACATTGTTTTTTTTTTTTTTAAACTGAGAACTTCCGGCACATCCGAGTTCATCGCGTTGAATTATAAATTTGGATCACTTTGTTTCCTTTTCTCCCAGGCTGCAGGTATAATCTATTGGAAACGTTTAATGTATCGCTTGTCTCTCGTTATGTGTGTGTAACCTGGTCTATCTTCTACGACTCCCTTTCCCTCTCGCCTCGGGAACACCTAAGAACACAGTGCGAGTCTAAGAATAGCGTGGCGTCTTTCACATAAATCATCAGCCGCAGATCTCAAAGGAAGGGTTGACAAAAGTTGTGACGCGGACACCGAGAAGGTGGGAGAGCGTATCTCCTTTCAACCTGCTGCTGCTGCTGCCGCCGTTGCCGCCGCCTCTGCTCTCCTCTCCTCGTAATTTCGGTGAATCCACGTAAGTGGTGGTGCCGGGCTCTTACGGTTAAATCACGGGGAGTCGGCGCGATGGGAGATAAATTCGGGAATCTTTACGAGCTGTTTAAGGGTCCACTTTAAAGCGCACCGTTCGCGCGGCTGCGAGTCGTCCGATGAATCAGATAGGAAACGGACGAATCCACCGGATGCGGTGACGTATGGAAAACGCATTCCACCGCGGTGTAATTTAGCGTACCTTGACCACTAATGGCGCACGCCATCGCCGTCGGCGTTGCCACGATTAATCATATTCCCGCGTGAAATTGTAAATCAGGAAATTAATTTATGCGCTATTCGGCGCTCGTCGTTGTCGTCGTTAGAAGCGTCGCGATGAATTCAACATTGATTGCGGGCTGTGAGAGCGGATTTACGCGCTTTCCGTCTCGCGCCGGCTATTTTCCTCCCTTTTCTTTTCGTTCTCTTTTTACTTACTCGGATACGGGTAAACTGCACTTTGCTCTCTTGAATATTATAAATATTTCGCGTCACGTTCCTCGTGATCGCGCGGGAGGTTCTTATGAGTTTGCTCACTTACTTGGAAATTCATGACGTTAACATTGAATTTCGGATTCTCGTCCAGGAATAGTCGCACTTCGGCGACATTTCCGTCGGCAACGACATCGAAGAATTTCTTCTCGAGTTCTTGCAACAGCGGAAATATCACGCTCGGAAACTGCAATAAAAATAACCTTTTAGTACACCTCGAGAGAGCGCATGTCGGATATTATATTTTTCGACTTCTGACCGCAGGCGAATGCGCTTAGCGGTTACTCCTCGTGCAGGATGCAATCCTGCCGGTGTGTGTTCTCTGTGAAAAGGCTTACTTGTTCGAATTCGTCTTCAGTTTCAGCTGTCGCTTCGTTGTCCGCCATCGCGACAGTGACAGCTCGACTGCGGACAATCGTCTCTACGGCCGTTGGACAAGTCGAGTTTTATATTTTCAAGTATTATATATTAGATATCATGGTAGATCAAGTCATCGAACTCACGATCGCCCGGAACGATCTTAAAGAAACGGATCGAAGATAGATTTTACGTTAAATCTATCTTGTTTCGATCTGTGGCGCGGCATAGAGATGAAGTTGCCTCCGTATGAGAGTTTTGGTTCAGGTAACTCTTCGAGTTTTTCCATAGCGCCGAGTTAATTCTATGATCTTCTTCTTCATAGAACGGTAGGAATTCCGTTAACTCGGAGTTCTCGCTTGATCAATTTTAAATTTAACTTATCTGAAACCGAGAGAACTTTACGATCTTCTTCGGTGCAACAGCAGATTTCCTCTACTTGAATTCGTTAACTCGTCAGTTTTAATTGATTCACCCAAGTGAGTGAGGTCCGTGGTAAACGGTAGTAAGGGTGGAAAAATAAAACGCGTTGATCTTCGTTTTCATTTAATGATGTAATTTGATCTTCGGGCGGAGGGTAGATATATACATAATTTATAATTTGTTTGTGTTCTACATACAAATAATATAATAATAATAATTGAAATAATAATATAATTATTATAATATAATATTATAATAATAATATATAATATATATTTTTGAGGATAACTTAGGTGTCGGAGAAATAGTCCTTACATCATTAAAATAATTAATTTGTGCCGCGTCGATTGTAAAACGATCGTCGTCAGAAACGTGACACGATGACAGTGACGTGATATGATTTAACATTACTATACAGCGAAAGGATACCCGACGGTTGTTGTCACTACCGATAATGACAGCCGAGTATTCGCGAGGTCGGTTCGTTTCGGCTGTACTTTCTGCATCTCGACTTTGTTCATCTTTCTCCCATAATGTTTAGACGTCAAAAATCCAAGAATGCTTTTTTATTTCATTTCGAGCGCAGGAAAGAGCAGCTAAACAAAATAGTCCTCATAGCTTCAGGTATGCGTAACGTTAAATGCATATATTTATAGTGGATTTATAATGGGTTACAAGAAATGTGTTAATGGACGAAGAAAACGCAGCGGGTTACGTACAATTCCCTCGTCGCGTTAGATGACGGAGAAGAATCGAAAGGATGTAGACTATGTACAATAATCATTTTCATTTCGTAAAAGTGCGAGTTGAACAGGTGTATCTGAAATTTATCGGGACGATATCGAGAGGACGCGCATCGCAAACTGCTTGATTCACGATGCGAGCGCCTAATCATGACCAAAAGTAATTGACTAATTGGATCCTGCGTCCATTCGTATCCTCGAAATATCAATTATGCGTGTTGATCTTCGAGTTCCTAACGGGAAAATTTCGTTGAGCGGAAACTTCGAGTGTTCTGATCGTGTACCTTCGAGCTCTCGAGTAAACGCGACTCTTTCTCTGCTTTATCATACTCCATTAAATGCCGATACACGATTACATATTATATATATTATCGATCAACTTGGCGCGAAAACTGCTTTAAGTTGGTATGTGAATTTCGCGAACTCGCGAAGGAATTTAATAACATGTAGGCGATTAATCTTACAATTTCGCAAGTTTCTTTCCTTTGCGTAATCCAAACGGTGAATGTTTAACGTAGACGAGTTCTCGTTGCGCAGTAGAGCTTTGATTGAAAACGAGTGACTGAAAAAACGATCGAAAGACGAGCGAGGCAACATTTTGGTGAGAAAGAGTCGGCGGTAGCGTTACGTTACTGCAGAGTATCGTTCCGCTTTTTCCAGAACACAGTGCGATCTCTTCAGGCACTTTCGGCGCGGATACGGACGGGATTCGCTGACGCTTTTGCAAGGAAACGGGGGAAAAAAGAGACGTTTACATCGTGCACCACGATACACACATAACAAGAAGAGGAAAGCTCCGATTCTCCCTGAAGCTCGGAAATTTCTTTTTTTCACCCTCTGCCGCTCCTCCGTCGTCCTGCGGATCTATTATACTACACATCACTCGGTGAACACGGATGGGTCACTGGCCAACTTATGGTCTCTCTCGTCTGCGACGACGTTTCTCTTCCGCGCGTTCAGTCGCTACGATGCGTCCTCCACGATTCAGGCGTCCATTGGCTTCGGCGATGCGCGCGCGCGCAACCACTCATGACGCCACATAAGAAAGAAAATTACGAGAGCTTCGACGAGTCGCCTCGGCGATTAATCAGTACTAAAGTCTCGACGCTCGACGGCGTCAGGAAGAAAGAAGTCCTCGGTAACGCGAACACTCGAGCCTGTGCCTCCGATGATCCAATCGGCACTTGATCACGACACTCGTTCGCCACCCTCGGCTCGCCTTGCCGTGAGGTTTCAGTCGTACAGCATCTTCGACGGCAGCACGTAGCTGGAGAGCGAGTAGAGGAACGAGGCGTACCAGTGGACGCCGTCCTGCTGCGTCGTGATCGTCGTGGTCTGGTTCGACGATGCCCCAATCTCGGCGCGCTGCCTCACTTCGGGATATCGTGGGGCCTCGGTTGGCCTCGTCTGCACGAAGAAGGACACCATACTGTGCCAGATCCTCATAGGCAGGAAGGCGTAATGCGCCACCGACTGACTGTCGACCACGGCGTAGCAGGACGCCACGACGTCGTTCACCAGCAGGTTGCCCTCCGTCGTAAGCGGCGCGAACACGCCCTCCTCGAGGACGAGCTTCGCTTCCACCACGCTATCCCATCGCAGATCGTTCTTCGCTTGGTCCTCCGCCCGATTCTCCGCCGTGTTCGTCCCGCTCACGAGGATCCTGTCGCCCGGCTGCACCTTGGCGGCGAACACGGACGATCGACCCTCCACCGGCACCAAGTGCGCCGGTGTCAGCGTGAGCACTCGGCCGGACTCGGTCGTCAGGCGGATGAACTGCCTCCTCTCGAACGGCGAACGGTCCAGGAAGGCGATCACCTCGCTGTACACGACGTTCCCGTAGGGGTCTAAGGCGGCGACGCGATCACCGAGCTGCACTTCCTCCAGCCTCTTCGTGCCGCCGTTCTCCGTTCTGACCAGGCTCTTGCCGGGGAAACAGCCGCTGGACTTGCCCACCGAAGACGAGTCTGAAAAGCAGAGGCCGGGAGGAGTGAGAAGAGGCCCTTCAGCGAAACGAAAGGTTCGCGAAGGTAAGATTAATATTTCTTATCGCGCAATTCGCGTGCTTCTGCGATTCTACTAAATATATGCTGCATGGAAGAGGGATTTTGCTAAGGCGCAGCTAATCGGGCCGAGGATATTCTGCTGCTGTAGCTGGAAATTTGCTGCTGCTGCAACAGGAACTTTGGTTACTGCTGCTTGGTGGTTGCCCTGATATATGCCTGCTGCAACTGAACCTGCAGGTGTCTGGAGAATGTACCTGAACTGGAGATTCAGCTAGCACATGGTAGTATATCTAGAAGTTTGGCTACATTAGACATATTAGGTGTGGCACTTATACACCTAACAATCGGGACTGAAGTTTTGCTCGCGGTAGTAAACTTTTGGCTACAGCAGCAAAACGCTTTCAGCTAAACTATGATTGCGGGGAAAATATTGTGGTGAAAGTTACTACAAAATTTTGTAATGTCGGGTACCGAAATTATAACTAAAATTATCATGTTTGTTTCAATCTTTGTACACATCATTAAAGATTACAACACATATAATAATTTCAGTCATAATTCCGGTATGATCCAACATTATAAAATCTTGCAGTTTCACTACAATATTTTCTCTGTGTGCGGCAGCGAAATCTTCATTATCCGCGCGAGTGAAATAATCTTAAAGTTATGTAGGCAGCGAAACTTTTAAATACAATATTTTTATCGTATTTCTTAGAATTACGATATTCTTGCCATATATTTCTTGGAACTATGACATTCTCGTCGTGTCTTATCATATTTCGGAATTTTTCTATAAGTATAAAGTTCTGCACCGAGGAGAAGAACATGTAAGAAATAAACTATTGCTTTGCATGCGCACAGATCAGAAACGATATCTTCAAGTTTTCCTTCCGCTTCTTTTCTGCGTTCGACGCGATTTCCGACGGTGCGATGCAATGGAGTGACTGCAGACGCAGGTATCGCCGAAAGCGTGTTCGCATCAGCATCGATCGGTTAAGCCGATTAACGCGATCCTGGTGAAAATTGCCGGAATGTTAAAGTCGCGACACGCGCGGATCGCATTCGCTGGCGCTTTTTGCCGCGCTTTCGGTACCCCCCGTCGTCCCATTGTTTCGCCCTTCGTTCTGAGCATCGACTCGTATCGATTTCGCGCCCATTTTTACGCCCGGTTTTAATTCGAGCCGGCACGGCCCGATTTATTGGCATTTATTTTGAAATTCGAGACCCGACCGTAGTCTGGAACGAGCACGGACCGCTGATTGCTTGAGTGCAGGTAAATATGGCCGATCACACGGGGGATACCGAAGCGAGAAGCGCGGCGAGCCGATCGATAGATGCAACAAGTTCTTCGCAGTTCGAGTCTCTCTCTCTCTCTCTCTCTCTCTCTCTCTCACTTTGCGCAACAAAGCCCCCGTTTCAAGAGCGACGTAAATAAAAAAATTGCAATTTCTTGCTCTTTACTATACGGATACGGAAATATATATAAAATGTTAGAAATAATTCAATCGAAGAATCGAGAAGGGAAACAGCGTGGAGCAATTCTTTTTCCTCATCACTTGGTCACGAGCAGAATTTAATTTTGCGAAATATTCCGCGCGCGGAGGTCAAAGCTGAACAGATTGGCCGCGTGATGAATCTCTCCGGTCTGCTCGATGCTGCTCTCTATATGTTACCATCGCGTGACCTACTATCTATGAACGTCGGTAAAATAGGCATCCGCGGCTTCGCAATTTGCCAAGAAGCGCGAAGGCGATTTTCGCGAGACGCGACGGCGTCCGTTCAGCCACGGTGATCGAATTTTCCTTCGCCGAGAGTTGACTTCCTTTCGCGCAAACGTCGTTTCGGCGTTGACGGTACTCGGCGCTCTAATAACGCGCGTGAAATTAGCGACGTCGGGATCGTCCGGTGTTGATAAATCGCAATCCGATCCGATTACGCAACGTTAAGTGATTTTAACGTTCCCCGCCGGCGCGTTGCCGCGGATGACGCGCGCGCGCGGGGCCGAGGCGTTAAGTCATTCTGTCACTCGTAACTGAGAACAGCGTGAGACTTTAGTATCCTTGTTCCATTAAACGACGTACCGCACCGACTGCAGCATCTTTATTGCATTAAACGACATCGTTACAACTACCGCCACGGTAGTTTATACGCCCGTCTTTATTGGCGCGCGTTGTAATCGGGCTTTATGCGGGGTATTAACGAGAAATGAACGCGCGGCGCAATTAAAATCTGCATGCAATCCGACCGTGAATTGACTACCGACTTCCGACAGTCGTTTAACAACGTTCTCTCGGCGGCTCCGGGGGACTCCATTCTACCGGACATTACTTAACACTTATCTACTCTCAATTATACCCGAGACTTTATCGCGTCACTTTCAAATCGACGATTTCTTTCGCCGATCGACCCGATTCCGAGGAACGCGATGCGGATTCATACGGGCCCCCCCTACGCCTCGAATTCGTGAAAATTTACTCGTCTCCGTTTTCCATTTGTCAACAGAAAAAGGTAACTTAGCGAGGTACTCTTCAACGTTCTTCTTGTCACGTGATTCAACGTTTCTCTACGACCGTCCCCGGCAGAAAAATATCACAGACTGTGACAAATCGGTCAGTGATAAATTATTGTTGCTCGGTAGTTTCATTACTCGTACGAGTAATAATACTACTATTTATCACTGGCTAATTAATCACTGCCAGTAATAGTTTTCTGTAAGGGATAGACACGTAGAATAGGCTGAGCATTGCCATTGGAGAGTTAAAGTCAAGATCGAAGAGTAGAGATATGTTAACAGTGATGCTTTCTCTGTCGTGCTGTAATAAGGTACGATACAGAGGAAATAGAAGAGTGAGAGTGGACATAGTGAAGGAAAGAGAGCTATAATGTGTATTTGATTGTGTGAAGAAAACACATAAATAATACACCGGTATATATAATTCGTAGTTATTAGTTCATAATACTTGTAACCACACGGAAAAAAGTAACTCCCGTAGCTAAAAACTAGTTCTGGCGGATAAAAATTAGCTGTCCATATAATGCAACTGAAATTTAATTAATTTAGCTAGTTTTTCTATCCCCGTACTTAACTTTCAGCCCCCACAGCTAAAAAGGAGGTAACTAAATTTCAGTTGTATTATATGGACAGCTAATTCCTTTTTTCCGCCTCTCCTCTTTCCCTCTTCCCATCAACTACACAATTAGACGAGGAAATCACCACTGCCTCTATTGCCTCTATCTCACTAATGCCGGCTTCAGCCCTCTAATGAGAATGCTCGGTCTATTCTATACATGGCTATAACACATCCGCCACGCTGTAAATCCGTCCGCGTTAGCGTCAGCGGCGCATCGTTCGTGGTACGAACGTGGATTCTACTAACGGAAGCTACTAACCGGATTTAACGGAGCAGTGAATGTGCGACCTGGACTCGTAGTAGACCCAATCGAAACCAGCCTCGACCGCGAGCCTCGCCAGCATTCCGTACTTTGAGCGGTCCCGGTCGCTCGTCGTCACGTCGACAGCACGTCCTTCGTAGTGCAGTGAATCTATCGCGTGCTTACCCTCCTCGTCCCAGCCCTCGGTTACCCTCAGCCTCACGTCCGGCCATTGATTCATCACCGAGAGCGCGAGGCTGTTCAATTTCTCCTTGCATCTCTGTAACATACGTTCCAGATCATTGAATCGTTAACGTATACGATATAACAGATTATGAGTAATACATGCATTAAATACAGTTGTGAAGTAAATATAAACAAAAAAAAGAATGAAGAGGAGGCGATGAAATAATTCGGTGACGGCAGACAGAAGGAGACTTTTCGATCTTGCATTGCCCGGACTTGCGAAATTTCAGTTTACAGCCAGCACGTTTCTATATGTGTGCTTTTAAATCGCCAATATATCAAGATAAAAGTATCAATGCCTGAATACGCACCTAACCCGGGACATCATTATTGTTTTGACCTTTAAAGTTTAAATGCGAATATTTCAACTTTCAACCTAGAATATATATATTCAATGTATGTATATATATTCTGTGTTAAAAGTTTTTAAATATTCGTATTTAGAGGCTAAAATAATAAAAATGTCTAGAGTTAATAGCCGGTATTCATAGCTGGATCCTTGAATCTTATATTTAAGACCGTCTTAAGTTTATCTTCAGATGTTGTACGGTTCATTTTATTGGCTACGAAATATCTGAAGACGAACTTAAGACGGTCTTAAATACAAGATTCGACCATGAATATCAACCTTAGATACGTATCCAGGCACATTGGTGCTTTTACCTTAGATCGGATGAGTTTTATCTTAACATCGAGACCCTATTTCTTCGTATACTTTCCGATTAATCTTCATAATGATTTCCAAACGAGCCTGGAAACGCAGTTAGATACAACGGCGAGTTTAAGGTTAAAGTTGACGTTCTTTGCCACCGGCTGAAGGACATCGCGACTCCCTTTTCCGGGAAGTTCCGCCTAATGCGATTTTCCCCCGTGTCTGGAAACATCACGCGAAGAACTCGGGCCTGACTCGGGGAATTCACTCGGCGATTTCACGCGGATGCGCGCGGAAAAAGGGGGGCCCACCTTGTGACCGGTGGCGTTAAGTAGTGCGAGCGAGACCACTGTGAGGTAAACGAATGCGAGTTCCGACCGGTCACGAGGTCGGACCCGGGGATCTTTAGGAGACTTTAAATGGGCCTAGTGCGTGGCGAATCAGCGGGCAAACAGGAGTATAAATATAGCCGATCTCGAGGAACGCGCGTTCGGTCCTGTCGATCCTCTATCTGCTCTCCTCTTGTCCGGCCGAGGGCAATTTTCTCTTTCGTTGTCTACCTGCACCGACGATGGTGGCGGTTGGCCGGATCGGCCAGTCGGCAGTGAATCAATAACGTTCTCTCCTCAACAAAGCTCGGATTTCGGCGCTGACTCAGGAGAAAATTTCGCGAAACCGGAAATTCTTATCCTAACGAAACGTTGCACGCATGCGAGTAAAACAAGTAAGCGAACTTGGACAATCTTCCTTCGGTGTCAGAAAATGGTTTTGAAAGGCGATATATATATGAATAGCTTATGAGATACGTCGAGACGTTCACGAGCCGGAAGCTACATTGCGAGGTGTCACCGTTGAAATCCGTTTTATGCCTGACAATTTCCAAAACGTGCTTAAATTTACCCTGGTTTCACGTATGCAAAGCTCCGTTAGAATCAAAATTTCCGGGTTCGCGAGGATCCCTTGTCAGGCCCGGCCGCTGCGCGGACCCGTGTAAACCCGGGCCTTAATCCGGAACGCGGCGTATCGAGGGCGCGAGAAGGCAAACGCGAAGGAGCCTCCATTGAGCGGGACCGCGGTATTGTCGAGGGGCATTCGAGGCCTCTGGGGTCCGTGTTCAAATCGATTCTCGAACAAGGAGGGCAATCGCCCACGCAGGGCCGTATCGCGCGCGGATGACCGGACGCGGATCGCACTCTTTCGGCGTGAATCGCGCCGATCGGTCGGTCGGTCTTTTTGTCCTTTTTATTCCCGACCAAACGCGCGGAAGAGAGCAATTTTCGGGAACGGGTCCGCTCGACTTTCGCGAAAGGGAGAAGCCGCCGATCATTCACTGGCATCGTCGTTGCTCGTCGATTGCGAAGGAGCATGTCGAGAGGAACGGCCGATATCGGCGAATTGCCGCGGCGATATTCGAAACAACCTCCGCGTTGTCTCACCCCTTTTTCTCGTTCCCGCGGTGTCTCCTCAATGACGGCAACGCGCAACCGATGACGACGACGGCTGTCGGAGGCACGAAGCGGCTCGCGCGGTTCGCGGCCACAATGAGACCCGCTGGACGTTAACCGGCAACGAAACGGGGGCTAACAATATCCACGAATTTGCAGCTCTCCTTGCGGCAATTAGACCCTATTGACTGCAGACGACGGCCCTCGGGGGACCGGTCCCATCTCTCCCTCCTCCTCGTCTTTCTCCTTCTCCTCTTCCTCCCTTTCGTCGTCTTCTTTTTCTTCTTCTTCTTCCTCCTCGTGTCCTTTTTACCTCGCTCGCTCGCTCTCTCTCTCTCTCTCGCGGTCCCGGTCATCCTCGCCGGTGAAAACCTTCACCGGCCACGTGCACGCGATTGCCACAATCGCCGAGAATCGCACGCCCATCCGCTGTCGGATGAATTTCCATTAAGGTCCCCGCGGCGATGAACCGGGGGCCGCTCTGAATGAACCTCCTGCGAACGGGCTGCGAGAAGCCGAAGCGTAGACCGGGTCTCAATAGGCGGCCTTAATTCCCTCGTGCGCGATACATTTCGCGAAATTTATAGCGGTGGCCGTCGGTTCCTGGTCACCGCAACATGACCGGCCATCGACGTTCGGCCGCCGCTTCCGGCCGCGTGAAAGCGGAGAATCCGCCGCGGCCACGTTTAGTCTAAGAATGTGTCGTTCTCTGGAGATTGGAACGAGGCACTTCGACCGTCGACTCGTCTCTCTGTTAGATGAACAAAAATGAGCGAATCTTTCGCGCACGACCCCGACAAATCATTATCTAGGGATTTTCTAGGGATACGGCCAACAAAGCGACCCAATTAGTTCGAGAATCGCATCGGAATCGCCGAGAGGGCGATGGATCTGGACGTGTTCCTCGCACGACGAGGAAGACTGCCGATCCGAGGGGCCGATCGAAATTTTCCCATGCGCCCTTCGGCTTTCGGGCGTAGCGTTTGCGGGGCCGCGCGCGATGCATGATGAGAACCGAGGTAATAGAGGATGAGAATGACGATGGAGTCAAGGAGGAGAGAAAGAGGAGGCGGAAAGCGGAGGAGGGGGAGGTATAAAAGCCCCGAAGGAGTCTCATATAAAGAGAGGGAAGAATGGTGAAGGGCCCGAGAGATATATCGGCCGTAGTGCGCTATGGGGAGCCTTGTTCGCACAGCGGGGTACCCCCTGGGCCCCTCCCAGACTTTACATCTATTTACAAACATTTTGGCGGACTTGAGGAGATGGAGGGTATGAAGGAATGAGAAAGAGTGCTCTCGCGCGCGCGCGCGCGGTTAGTCAAAGCCGAGAATGTCGGGTCTTATGAAAATCCATTTCGGGTGAAAAATGGCCCGGTCCGTAATGCATTAGGGATAAGGAGGGAAGCACGGACGGCGGGGACAGGGTGGGAGGCGAGAGGGTGGTTACGCGAGAATCGAGAATCCGTGGCAGAAATCGAAGGAAGTCCCAGGGCGAGAGGAGCTTGTACGTACGCGCGAAACGCACCGAAGACGAAACGCGGGCCGTTCTCGTGCGAAACACAAAAGGGAAGCCGCGGTTTCACCCTCGGGGCGCAAACGACCTTAATGGAATCGCATTGATCCCGTTCTATGGGAAGTGTAAAAATGTAAGTTTCTCGGGAATCGTTCGAGCCGGTAGCGTCCTCATTCGAGGCATCGTTCGATCTACCCGTGGCCGCCGGTTTTTGATCTAACCGAAAGAGAAAACAGCAGCACCGGCGGCAATCAAACACCGGAAAAAAGAGATTAGCTCCGGTAGCTAAATTATTTGTAAAGTACGGACATGTGAAATTTTAGGAGAGTAAACGATTTTAATTGTTGTAGTAGCAAATTCATTTGCTGTTGCGGAAAATGTACACGGAAAAAGTTAGTCTTAAATCAATAATAGATGTTTTCATATATATACTTAAAAAAACTCTTTCTTTTCAATTTTTCACGGAAAAAAATCACAAAAATCTTTGGAGAAAATGGAGAAAAACGTTTTTTCATGTTTTTCGCACAAAAAATTCGAAAAGATTGTGGAAAAATAGAAGAAAAACGGGTTTTTCCGAGCCTTTAAAACTATATTCATGTATAAACAAGAATATATTATAATCTTCTTAGAACATGTTTAGTCTTCATTTGATTGAATTTGTACTGATGCAAGTATTACTCACATTCAATTCGAGACTAGAGAAGAATCTTTTAAGAATATTATAATATTCTTACTTACTTCTTGCTTACATGTGAGAATATCTATCATCGATTTAACATTATTTTTTCTATGAATTATCATAAATAACATTCATGATAGTACAATATACATTCAACAAATAACATTCATTTTTCTATGAATTATCATAAATAACATTCAATTATCATAAATAACATTCACGATAGAACGTTTGCTGCTGCAACAATAGAGTTTGCTACTGCAGCAATCAAAATTGCTTACTTTGCTAAAGTTTTAAGTGTCCATATGTTACAAATAATTTAGCTACTGCATCTAATTATTTTCATGAACGCTTCTGCTCTTTGTAAGACATATTGCAAGAAAAATTTGTCATTTCGAAGAAATTCTTAAAGGATGACGAATAAATGTCAACGGAATCCGTCAGTTAAACCTTTTCACGAAAAAGTTCAGTGTTCTTCGAAGATTTTGCTTGTCCGACTGGACGCGTCTGTATCTCCTTCGTGTGTCGATTCGAATGCAGCGCGGAAATTTCGTCATTTGAAGAAATCCCGTATATTCCACGTTTGAGAGCTTGTTGGAGAGAGAGAGAGAGAGAGAGAGAGAGAGAGAGAGAGATCAGGATTAACATTGTTATAAAGAACAATATAGAATCGATATCAAAATAATAAGATTCAGGACGAGAATTACGCGATACGTCACCGAGAAGCGGACAGCCGGTAGCCGAGA